TTTAATGTTTTCATAAAAACTATTGAGGAAACCATGCTAGGTTGTAGTTTACCTCAGCATTTTTTAATGTGTGAACATTAAGTAAACCATGAGTATTATAACAAAGTAGAGCAGGATGTGCTCCTGTGACTGCTATTTTTTGGGTATATATGAGCTGTACATAACCAAAGTGTGAAAACAGAGCAGGAGCTAAAAGCTACTTTGCCCTTTTCAATTCCTGTTGAGAGAGGAAACTGTCTGAATGCAACGTGTAGAAATGAACTCTGGGGTTTTACTCACTTCCCATTGTAAATGTCTCTGCTGAAATGGCAGCCTCAAAGCTGCAAAGGCAGTTTCATAATAGTAAAGATCATAATTCACTGACAGAAAAATTAAAAAGCAATTAAGAGTTTTGCTACTGCATGAACCATTACCCTTTAAACAAGACACCAAGGCTCTCAAAAGAGTTCAAAAGCAATTTAGGGAATTTATGGCCTGCCTGATCAAGCCCATTCAGCTTCCTCTCCTAAAAGAAAAACTTATTATATTACCTGTAATAATAAACAGTAGAAGTTTAATTAATTTTTAATGCACTTAATTGGGTTATTCCTCTTCATACCACTCTCTGTTGTGGTATCTGGAAACTTGCACTTCTGGCTTGGTTTCCAAGGAAAACAAATTAAACCGCAGCCATGTGCACTGACAGCACTTCCCAGAACTATTTATTCTTCCAATACCTCAGAGCTTGGGCTTCTTAAAAAGACCTCAAAGCCTCCAATTGGGAAACTCACCTCAAGTGTTCACTCCTGGGAGAGAACTCACTTAAACAGGAAAGGAAAATCAGCTTTATTTGTATCTCCAAACCCTGTGGTGCCTCCTCTTACCTGATTCTGTTGTTGGACAAGTTGAGCTCACGCAGCTTCAGCAGTTTATCCAACTTCTCAATCTTCTCTATTTGGTTGTTACTAAGGTTTAGCACCTCTAGTTTAGAGCACTTTTCCAAATTTTCTATGTACTAAAGAACAGAAAATCCTTTAGCATTGGGTTTTGGTTTATTTAAAGAGAAAAGCAGTTTTCTATTAATTAAAAATACCAAGTATTCTAATATTTTATTAATCACAGTTTATTGTGGTATTCTGTAACCCCACTTTAGGTACAGTCTCCTACAGTGTTGGAATTTTAAATTTACAGTGTGCTAGTCTTCATCTACATAAAAAGGAACATGTTATTAAAAAAATAAAAACAACAACAACAACAAAAAACCCCAAACAAATAAAAACCAGCACAGTCCAAAACCAAAAAAATATACATGAACTAATCTGTTTTAAACATCATTCTAATTAATCAATTATTCTTCTTTTGCTCAAGTCTCCATTGCCTTTTTTTTTTAACAGAAGCTGGTTGCAGAACTAGGCTAACAGAATTAGATTGTGCTGTTTACATCCACTTAAAAATAAGCCTGTATTAAACAATAAATGGCAATTATTCTAAACTTAGTTTTATTTCCAGTTTTTCCCAATAACTTACCTTAAATTTCTTATCCCCATCCTTTGGGGAAGAAAGATTCAGTGAGCTTATACATGCCAGATTTTGCTGTTTTGACAAACCCTTTATAAGGGGTTCAGTTATGTATTTAACCCCTGGGCTAACACCTTTTTCACCTGAAATTAAACAGAAAGGATTGATGATTTTTATATTTGTTGTTTTCTTTACACTGAATACTGGAAAAACATTGAAAATTATCCCCCCAGAAACATTTACAGGAAGGAGTAAAAGTCTCATTATTCTCCCCAGCTTTCATTACTCCCACTTCCACATTTGTGCTCAAAAAAAAAAAAAAATTAAAGCAATTTTTTTCAGGCTTCTTTCCAACAGATCATACATCTTTAATCACACAATTCATACAACACTGGTGTTTAATGCCTGTGGTATGTGCTTGGATACCAGTATTATTGACTATACAATACCTTTCAGAAATTTAAAAGCAGCTCCAACATTTTCTGCTGGAATATCCCATTGCTGGGGTCTCTGCTCCTTGCTTTTGGGAGCAGCTGGAGGTGTCTGCTGGCCGAGACGTGCAGGTGTGGCACCTGAACTGACAGGTGACATTGGCTGAGGTATCTGGGACGCTGATGCCTGTGGTTTTCTACCTGAAACTTTCATCACAGAGCCTTTCTTCATTGCCAGAAATGCTGGGTGTCACATGGCAATACCTGGAAGAACTGAAACAAGTATCTGTGTAGAAAGCTAAATCTTGAAGGTTTGCATGACAACAAAGGCACTACAGAAGCTGCCAAAAAACACATCTCCAATGGGTGCCAGCTTCCAGTTTTCCTGGCATTGGGAAGAATTTCACCTTTGTACTCCCACCCTTGAACAGCACAGCCCCAGGGACGGATTGAGCAGCTCTGTGTTTGCAGCTCATCTTCCTCCTGTCCTGCAGGCTGTGGTTTACACAAAGCCTGCCAGGTCTGGAGATACTCTCAGCTCAGGCTAACAGAGCTGGCAGGGACACAAACAGAGGATTGGATCCCAGCTCTTCCCAAAGCTTGAAATCACCCTCTTTGCAGTAAGAACAAATGCAGGCAGAAAAAGGCCACTGAGAAAAAAAAATTAGCATCAGTCTGGCACTGGCATTCCCAGAGTTTTCCTTTCTGCAAACACATTATCCTGTGACAGCCTGGGAAATTCCAGAGAATGTTAACAGAAACCTCCCTCAGTGATGAACATATTTCCCCAGGGATAAGTGTAGGAAAAGTCATGTACCCTGTGTGACAAAGCCCTTGTAGCAACCATCTCCAAGGGACAGAGCTTCACTAACACCTCCACCCACTGAACAAGGAGCACATTTTAAGGGATTTTTTAAGATAAAAAAAAATCTTCCGTTAGGGGAACTTAGAGCTTCCTGAGTGATGGCACTGTGCCTTGAGAATATGTTCTTCATTGTGATGGATTATTTTTTTCCCTCCAGAATTGGAAAGGAAATAAGAACAAGGGAAGGAGGGGCAAGAATAAGGGCCACTATTATCTATCCATGACTTGGAAACACAATTCATACAAGATCAGGACAGCGAGCCTGGAGGGCGCAGGAGAGGCAGAAAGATGCTACCGCAAACCCACACCGGGGCGTTTCCAAGGGGCGCAGCTCATGGTTTCACCGCTGCTTCCTGAGGCCAGGCTGTGCTTTCGCAGCGACACCCCCGGGGGCTGAGCGGGGATCGGGGCCCCCATCCCCTCCCGGTCCCGGCCGCAGGGCGATCCCGAGCGCCCTCAGGCCTCCGCTTTGATTACCTGCGTTGACATGGTAACGCCGTCTCACCGCCGCGGCACGGGCGGGCAGGGCGGGCCTCGCAGCGCTCCCGAAGGATGGCACCGGTTCTCAAGGCACCTCTCCACCACCTCCTTCCCCTCGGCGAGGAACCGCCGCCCGCACCGCCGCGTCCCGGGTGCTGCGGCTCCTTTAAGGGCGCTCCCTGAGGGGCCGCCCCGCCGCCATTTTGTCCGTCCGGCGACAGCGGCGGGCGCGGTGAGGGGCGGGGCTTGAGCGTTGCCACGCCCACAACTCATTTCCCGCCGCGGAGGCCCCGCCCCCGCCATTGCGTCCCCTCAGGGATTTGTGGTAAATAAAGTTATAAATAATGTATAAACAACAAAGCCCAAATCACTGTATAAACACTACAACCTTGATGGGTTTTGGTTTGTTTCAAACCCGAGCCGCTGTATAAACAATAAAACCTGCTCTGCTGATAGCAGTTTTTTCCTTCTCTGTACTCTTTATTTAGCATCTCACTGCAAAATTGCGTTTAAATGAACTTAATTGGAAATATACTGTTTATTTGCAATTATAAACAATGCATGTCTGGTCTAAATCAAAGTCATTTTCACAGAGGCGTGTAAATAAAAGTCTTTTTAACACTTGGACTGTGTTAGACCAGCATTTGTGTAACTAAGTGTGAAATGCAGGGCTGAAAAACCTGTAGGCTGTGTCTCTGAAACATATAAGGAAGAAGTATAATTAGATTTAAAAAACACTATTTCAGAGAACTGTTAAACTTTTCACACATTTCCAGGTGTTCTTCACTATTTGTGCCTTCTCATTTACATACCACCCCTACTGGTAATTAATAATACATATGTTGGCCACTCATTTTAATAACATTAAGCATCTTATATTTTATAAGCTTTTATTCTATTTTTGCTTCTCTTCTAGTTCATTACATTTGGTGAGAAGCCTACCTTATTGTAATTTCACTTTATATCGATCAGAAACAGTTTTGTAAATGCTTTTCCCGTAAAGGTTGACCGCGATATTTGTTTAAACTTCAGCATTCTTGCACAACTTTATTTAACTTTACATAAGCCTATTTGTTGAGGTGCTATCCCAGGTATCAGGCCTGCAAAGGTTTTGTCATCAATGGTTGTGGGGGGTTTTTTGCAAATTTTTTCAACTTTTTTTTTTTTTTTTGCAAAATGCTGTTTAAAATAGTGCATGTTGATATATTCTGCCCTAATATTTCCATATTGCAGGTTTTATTTGGAATGGAAGTGGTCAGAAAGTTGGCATAATCTAGAATACAAATAGCAAAAAGAAATTTAGCCATTAGAAAGGGAAATGTTATTTCAATACAACAATAAAATAATGCTGGTCTAAACACATCCACACATTGTTTGATATAACTCAAATGCTTTTTTGCTTCAGACACAAATTTAAACTTACTTAAATTTTTTTAAAAAAAAATTTTACTAAGGAAAAACAGAATCTCTTTCTGATTGTTGGGGTTTTCCTACCTCTGAAAATCATTTTATTGTGCAGTTGTCAGAAAGAAAGTGAGGACTGACACAGGATTGCTGTGGACATATTAAAAATTGAAATCCTAAATTAAAAAAATGACTAAGTTTAGCGGTTCTGGTTTCCTCAGGAAGTGGCAATAGTGTTTTAGTAAAGAATGATCTGCCATTAATTATTAACTGTGGATGAAATGTGTTGGCATTTCTGCTCGCCTACAGCAGAGGCTGTTTAACCCAGCCTCATTAACATCTCTGGTTTGCTCTTGTCCCAGACACAATGACCATTTTAATATATTTTATTGTTTTGCTATTTTCTGGAACGACTTTTAGCCAAGAGAAAACGTAAGTAAAAGCAAATACGGAATTTACTGGAAAAGCTACTTGATTGTTGTCCTCTCTTTTGGGTAAATAAATCCAGAATTTTAGTAGCTCCAATACAAAGGGCACTATCCAAATAGGATTTTAATTAGTGTCTTGCAAGAACCTGATTATCCTGTTTGCTCTAATTCTGTGCATGTAACTGAATTCCAAAGGGAAGTAAGAAATCTGAAAGAAATACAGTTCCATTATGCTGTTATTGTTTTATATTCCATGTACAGATATGTCCTTACAGCACCAAAGATCTTCCGAGCTGGGGCCTCTGAGAAAATTGTAGTTCAAGCTTTTGGCTATGAGAAGGAATTTCCAGTCAATATTGCCCTAAAAAGCTTCCCAGATAAGCTTGTTGTGTATTCGTCTGCTCGGATTTCCTTAACCCCAGCCAACAAATTCCAGGATGCTGTAACTTTGACAGTAAGGAATTCAGACCTTTCTTACACTCTTTTTATTATCACATTTAGTGATAAGTCCTAAAAAAATATTAAGTGACAGTAAGTTTTCAGTTGTTTAAACTGGGGAGGGAAAGCTAATGCCCCAATTTTTGATCTGAAATTAAAATTGCACTGAATAAAATCAGTTAACAACATTGAGGTTCAACATAGAATCAGACTGTTTTAGAATCATTACCCTACTTGCATATTTTTAAAAATAGAGAGAATCAAATAAAAAAATACCAATCACAGCAGCAGTTTTGTTGTGGCCATGATTCATCATGTGCATAAATGGAAATCTGATAATTTCTACTGTTGTAACCTCATTACTGGGCTTTGGACTTTGCTGGTTTAGTTCTGGACATAAATAAAATAAAAACCATCCTCTACCGTGTAAGCAAGAATAAATCCTTGTGTTAATATTTTTATTTAATGATACTCAACCACAGAGTGGTAATTGCTTTTCAGATACTTTTTGCATCAAAAAATACTGTAGGAAAAAATGCGTGAAAAATATTTTAATAATCTTCAAAAACCTTTATTTCATCTCCCCCAGGTTCAACCAGCAGATTTACCAAGAACAGATACTTCAGACAAGTATTTGTATTTGGAAGCTGTTTCTCCACATTTTACAAGATTTAAAAAAATTCCTGTTTCTTATGAGAATGGGTTTCTTTTTATTCATACAGACAAACCAGTTTATACTCCTGATCAGTCAGGTAAATAATGCTTATTTCTCTTGGCTGTTATTTAATTTTAAAAGTCTGCTGACTCTGCCAAGGAATTAGGATTTCATTTTTCTTTAAGCTCTTGGTTGTGTTGCATTGCCATCAGCTGATATTTAATTTTTTTTATCAGCAGAACAATACTTTGAATTATTTGATCATACTGGAAAAGTTAATCACTTCTCCCTGCCCTCCTCACCCTAAATTACTAATTTGTGGCACAAAGAATGAAAGGTATTCCTGGGAGTTTGTTAAAATATAAGTAAATTGTTTGGTTTTTTGATTTTGAGATTTATTGCTGTAATTCTTACAGTGAAAGTCAGGGTTTACTCTCTGAATGAAGAACTGCAGCCAGCTCGGAGAGAAACTGTCCTGACTTTTGTGGTGAGTTGTAATTGAATTTAATATGAGTATTTTGTAGCTCTAATAACAAATAAAGATGGATAGGAACATGGGAAGTCAGTATTGCAATCAATGTTTAATAAATTCTTAGATGTTTTTGCAGGTAGCCAGACATCTTTTAAAAGATTTAAAATTGACTTTGCAAAGTTGGATAGAGGTTTTCAAGTCCCAGATCTGAAGTTGTTCCAGAATAGAAAAAAAATACCTTTAATATCTGGGAAAAGGATTTTTCAGGGGACTTTAATAATATATGGAGCTTATACTGTTTGTTTCATTTAAGATATAAAAATAATCAGTATCTACTGTATTTTTTAGCCTTAAACAATTGGCTTGTTATTACAGTAATTTTTTAGCTATTTTAAGCATAGCTTTTACTTGGTGGAACTAGAATAAAGTATTTTATCAGAATTTCAGTCTGAGTTTTTCTATAAATATTTGTGGTTTATGCTTTGAAAAGGTCTTAGGAAAATATATTATGGCCAGGCTGACTCTGAAATCCCCTCTGAAGGACGAAGATTCCCCTGTTGATAAGAACAGACTGTAACTGCTCTTTCTGTCCTCTTATCATTTCAAGGATCCTGAAGGAGTCGAAGTGGATATTTTGGAGGAAAAAGATTTTACTGGAATAGTTTCTTTTCCTGACTTCAAGATTCCTCCTAATCCTAAGTAGATTTATTTATTGTTTTTTTGGTGAATTATTAACATTATAATGCCTTTTTATAGTGGCTGTCATAGAGTGGTTTTGCATGGTGGGCATGACTTGAAACTTGGAGATTTCTAACATTTCACATAGGGTGGAATCATGATAGAATTAGGGACCTTGTGGCAGAGTATTCTCCTTAAAGAACAGTGAGGGGCAGGTTTTTCATGCTCAATTAAAAAAGAACATTAATGACAATTAAAGCTTTCTACTGTTGAGATATAAATAGTGACAAAGACATGGGGATTTCATATTTCAAGTGTGTTTCATACAAATCACCAGCATTTTCCCAGGAACAGCAGCAGTTAAAAAATATCTCTTCAATTCTCATTTTAGTCTTGAGAGGGTGCTGAAACATTGCTGAGAGAGCAGAAGGATGATAGCAGGGGCTTGAGAAACTGGTTTATAACTGAGTTCAGTGCTTTAAAGTAAGTGTCAAATAATTAGTGATGTGTCAAAGAGATCCTGCTCAAAGTAGACCTTGAATGCTTGTGAAAATCTGGTGCAGAATTTTCCTCTCTAAGAAATTATTACCATTATTATCATTAATTTTAATCTTAAAAGCTGTTTGATGGTTGATATTTCATAGATATGGAATTTGGAAGATTAAAGCCAAGTACAAGATGGATTTTGTGACCTCAGCTGTGGCAAAATTTGAAGTTAAGGAATATGGTAAGATGTGCCCATGCTGTGAAGCTGCATTTTTAGTGTTTTCAAGAACTCAAACCCCTTGAAATGGTCATGATTCTTCAGTGGCTCAGCACCAGTGGCTTCATGGGTAAAGCACCCCCAAAGTGACCTTTTTTCTACTCAATTTGCAGCAATGCCAAGCTTTTCCATCACCATCGAGCCAGAGAGTAACTTCATTAGTTCAGATAAATTTGAGAACTTCAGGATTGTTGTGAAAGCTAGGTGAGGAAATAGGGCTGGGAATCCTGAATATCCTAAATCTCCTCTTCCTTTACCTGAAGAATGATTCTCTGAGTCCAGACTTTTCCTCTTTGCTTTCCTCAAGAAAATTTCATCAAAATAATTTCTGCTGTGTAAAAAATCTAAGTGACCCTTCTTAAAATTCCGTCAAAGTGATTATTTTTCAACAGAAGTGTTTAAAATACACAGACATTTGTTTTCCATCTCTTGCCTAGGCAATGACTCTTCAAAAACAAATGCTGTGTTGCAGCCACTAAAGTAATCTTAAAAGCATTTATGTTGTTTTATTCTCAGCTATTTTTCCAACAAAAAGCTTCCCAGTGCTGATGTTTTTCTTCGTTTTGGAATAATTGAAGAAAGTGAGAAAAGAATGATGCCTCAGGCAATGCATGTAACAAGGGTAAGAAGCAGCAAATCAAGTTTGTGTAGAATTCACGTGCATAACTCGGGACTGATCCAATCCCACTGAAGTTTTTCCGTCAAATTTGGTGAGAATGGGTCTCAAGTTGTAATTTGCATCCACAGCTCCCCAGTGTGGGCTTTTCCTGTGTAAGGCTGTCATCAGGGGCAGAGAAATGCACTTGGAAATGAAATTCAGAGGCAGCATCTGAGACAATGGCATTTCAATCTGCTGCAATTACTCTCTTGGCCAAACTCTGTGATGAAGATTTCTATGAAATAATTTCAGTGCTATCTATTACAGAATAACTGAAGTCAAATGGAGACAAGCAGCTCAAAATGATACTGATTTATTCTGGGGAGTCTGTTCTACACTAATTGTCCCCTTCCCTCATTTAGTGAAGATATCTCTCTGTTATCCCCACCTCTTGCTGAGCCTGCACACAAACTTTGCAATATGTGCCATTAGTTGATTAATTTAAAATAATTTTAGGGAATAAAGAATCCTTTATTTAAACATCTCCACCCTTTGATTTCCTCTGAAAATAGACAGTGAACAGAAATACACTGAATCTACATATGGTCTGTGTATTATAAAGTGATGGTTTCTATTTCATTTCCAGATTGAAAATGGAGTTGCTGAGATCAATTTTAACAGTAAGAGAGCAGCAAGTTCTATAGGCTTTGACAGTCTGGAAGCACTGGATGGCTCATATTTATATATTGTGGCATCAGTGTTGGAATCTATGGGTAAGTTGCTCTTTAATTGAAATTTTTCTTAACACTTCTGCAAATATGAACAGAACTAGAAAGGACATTATAAGGCTAACCTTCCTAATATCATACTTTATTTAATATTCAGTTCTTCTTCCAAAAACTTCTAAGGAAGAACAGCCTGTTCTCACTGTAGAAATGGTTAGGGATTAAACTTATTGTTGGCTGTTTGCTCCATGGGGTGCTGTGTTTTGTCAGGTGGCCTCAGTGGAGAGGTGGAGTTCACTGGAGTCAGGTTTGCTGTCTCTCCTTACAAGCTGAGTTTGATTGCCACTCCTCTCTTTGTGAAGCCTGGACTGCCCTTCTTCATTAAGGTCAGTTCCCAGGAGCAAGGGGGTTGCACATTAAACCCCATCAAGCACAAGCTTTGTCATTTTCTTTCTGTATCACTCTATGTCGGATAAACACACTTTCATTTCCATTGACTTGGACATTTGTAAACTCCCTGTTGTAGAAGCAGCTGAGCAGCTTGGAAGCCTCTTCCTGAAAAATGTCACCATTTCTTTGTCCTGATGAACAGGTGCAGGTGAAAGACACCATGGATGACTTTGTTGGGAATGTCCCTGTAACTGTCACTGCCAAATCCTTAAGTGAGCAAATGGATGAGACCTGGTTGATATCAGAGGGTTCAGAATCTGGGAGAAGAAAAACAAGCATCAGTGATGGAACTGCTTTGTTTGTTGTTAATATCCCACCAAACAGCAAAATGTTGGAGTTTCAAGTGAGTTAAATTGTTCCATTAAATTATTTCTTCAAGGGTGTAATTATTTCTTTGAGGGTAAGGTCTTGAGCTGGCTTCTCTTTTATTAATCCCTCTGAACAACATATTGCAGAATTATATTAGTTTTGTCATTGCTTGTTTGCTTAGGAGTAATTCTGTACTCAGACTATTCAGACATTTCATTATCTTTCCAGGTAAAAACTGCAGATCCACATCTTTCAGATGAAAACCAAGCAAGTAAAAGCTATGAAGCAAAAGCTTATTCATCCCTGAGTCAGAGTTACCTCTACATTGACTGGGCTTCAAACCACAAAACCCTGGAGGTGGGGGATGTAATAAATATTAATGTATATCCACAAAGTCACTACATTGATAAAATACATCACTACAGCTATTTGGTGAGTAACAGATGTTTCTGCATAAAATATTGAATTGCAGTTTAATATGGATGGTCATGGATGAAAAAGCTCAACAGTCAAGAGCTATCCTCAGCATAGAATACGTGCAGCTCAGGCAACTGCTTCCTTTCAGATAGAATCTGTCAGCTTTATAGGAAAAAAATAACAGTCTCATGTTTAAATTTTATATTTATGTGGTCTCTTTAAAAAAAATTCTTATCTGACATTGACTGGGATTGAGGACAAGTAGTGTTGGTCTCAAGAGCTGTTTCAGAAGGTGAAATGTTGAAGGAAAAGAAGTGCAGAGACAGCACTTCTTTGTAGTGGAAGATATAAATTCAAATAATTACTACATGTGAAAAATAGACTAAATATAAAATTTGATTTTTTAATTGTCCATCATTTTTTAAACCATAGATCACATCAAAAGGGAAGACAGTGAGCTTTGGAACTCAGGAGAGAATTAAGGATTTGGAATATGAACATCTGACTTTCCAGATAACTCAAGAGATGGTTCCTTCAGCACGCCTCATTGTTTACTACATAGTCATGGGAGAAGGAGCTGCAGAGTTAGTGGCTGATTCAGTTTGGCTGAATGTGGAACAGAAATGTGGCAATAGCCTTGATGTGAGTAGCAAAATAGGCACTGAAATTTGTGGGTGTGCATTTGTTTTATGGTTAGATTTTATCTTGGACTTACACAAGTTCTTTAACAATTAAATTATTATAGTAAATGTCTGCCATTAACTGGATTGATTTCAGAGCAATGTGCTTTCAAAATTACCAATCTTTGTTATTAATTTATAGATTAAGCTGCAGTCAAGCAAAGCGACACTGAAACCAGCAGAGGTTGTATCACTCACCATGAAAACCCAGTCCAATTCCTTTGTTGCTTTGTCCTCTATTGACAAAGCAATATATGGAGTCACAGGAAGAAGGAAGAGGGCAATGGAAAAGGTGAGGTAGCAGCCATAAAAGAAAATCAAGCTGCTCTTTATTTCATTTCATATTCAATAACTGATACGTCATGCACTCAGCCAGCCTGAAAATGGGCAGAAGAACAATTTAAGGCAGAGTGAAAATTGTTTGTTTAAATCTACAGTTCAAAATTATTAAAAGAACTAGTTTGCAATCTTTTCAATTCCAGTAGATGTAAATTGTAGTTTTGAAGGCAAATCTGACCACTCTCATCAGAACTCCACAGACCTGGCCAAAAACAGGTTGCAGTGTCGGAGAGCTCCTTGCTCAAGGAGCCATGGAGAGTGTTTTCTCCTTTGTTTCACAAAGAGCCTTTCCAAGCTGTGCTCTGCATGGGATTTGCATTTCTCCTCAGATCATGCTGCAGCTGGAGAAGAGTGACCTTGGCTGTGGGGCTGGGGGAGGACAGAACAACATTGCCGTGTTCAGGATGGCCGGGCTCACCTTCCTCACTAATGCAAACGCTGATGACTCAGAGGAAGCAGGTACATTCCTGTGGTCGAGGCATGGAACTGTGCATTTTCTGAAATGTTCCACTGTCACTCTCAATTATGATCTTGGAACTCAAGGGGATGTATATATTGATGATTTGTGAGGGGGGTTAACATCTTGTGGAACAGTTACTGTAATCAAAATGAAAATGCTTCTATGTAATTAAAACAGCGAACATAAAAAAGTTTCATGCATTTGGAATGTGACTTTGTGGAGTTATTTTTAAGAGGACAATCCTATTACAAGAAAAGTTCATGCTGTGTGTACTTTTTTATTTTTCTGTACAGATGAACCTTGCAAGGAAGTGTTAAGAACCAAACGGTCTGACTTCAAGGAAAAGATACTCAAAGAAGGTGTCAAAAATATTTCTATGTATATAATAATTTTTAAAAAATCACATCAATTTGGAAATAAAAACTTCATCTCAAGGAAGTGAACTGTTCTGTTTTTATTTCAGTGGCCAAATACCGAGATCCAGAAGCCCGGCAGTGCTGCATGGCTGGAGTAAAAGCTTATCCAGTGTCTGAGACCTGCAGGGACAGAGCTCAGAGGATTCGGAGGAGCCAGAGGTGCATTTCTGCATTCACAGATTGCTGTGAATTTGCCAACAAGCTGCGGCTGGAGGAGCCAAATAAGCTCCTGATATTGGCCAGAATGCGTGAGTATGAGAGCTCTGGGTGTCTGCTCCAGAACAGGGGGATGGAAAGGTGATGGAATCTATTAACCCCCTCCCCCGGTACCTGTCAGGGCTGTTCCAGACAGAATTTTACCAGTGTCCCAAAGCTTTGGTTATATATCCCTGAGGAGGGGCAGAAGAACAGTTCTTGGTTGTGTTCAGCTCTCTATTCTGTTCACCCACATTTAGAACAAGCAGAACAGCAATCAGAGACTATTAAGAGTAAACTTGAATGCCAAATTTGAATTATTTGCCCAGGCCCAAGATAGACAGTGGGTAACACCTCAGGAAAGGTCTGTGGGAGGGTTAAATTCCTTGTCTTCTATTATCTCCCTATAATTGCTTGTTAACAAGGTGATCTGTCAGGATATTGGACAGGTGTCAATGGATGAGGTGGGATTGACACAGATTTTTGACTGAGTGTATTAAGATATCCTTTTTGTTGTATCAGTTTTTTTACTTGCTTCATTTATGTTCTTCAGATTTTGAGGCTCTCTTGGAACTGGATGAGGCACAAGTTCGTAGCTACTTCCCTGAAAGCTGGTTATGGGAAGTTCATCAAGTTTCTTCAAGGTACTGCTTTTCTCAAATCAGCTTTGTAGACAGGAAGTGGGGAAACTGAGGTAAACTGGGTAACTCCAGGTGCACCAGAGATGTGTGCTGAAATGGAGTCTTATCCAAACAAACTATTCCTGCCATGTTCCTCTCCATGCTCCATGTGCTGTGTGGTGCCCAGATTGTTGAGCCACTTTCACTTTGGACCTTGCTAAATACCAGCTTCTGTGAAATCAGCTAAAACCAAGTTTATTCCAACCAAAATCCATAATTCCTCTTTTCTGGCTCAGAGCTTCCCCGAGTCTCTCTTAGAGTGTTGCTGGTGATGAGCTATGCTGTTAACAGATAATGTTAATGGTAATGGATAAATGTAAAAACACTTTTAACACAGGTCCAAGACTCTGTCTGTCACCTTGCCTGATTCACTGACCACCTGGGAAGTACAAGGTGTTGGCATTTCAGATAAAGGTAGGTCTTGCAACCCAGCTAGTTTGGAGCTGAAGAATCAGGAAGCTTTGTAGACTCTCTCAATGAGTTTGATACTCATGTTCTAAAGTATTCACTTTCTGGTTGATAGACAGGAAAAGAAAACAAAAATATGTTTTTGGGGAAAGTAAATCACTTCATGTCATGTTGTGAGTGTCAGTGGCTGGGAAAACAAAGCCAGTCCTGTGTGTCACAATGGTTCATAGAGAGTAAGAAGGAAAAAAAATATTGAGTAACTCTTCCCTGGACAACTTTACATTGTTCTGCTACCTGGAGCTCAGGGACTTGAGATTTTCCAGGAGATTTGGTAATCCAATCAGAGAATTTCTTTGGGAAGAAGAAACATAAAGAACCTGGTATGTCAGCTGAGGTGTGAGGAGTGGTGAGAGCTGCTTGGATCAGGAAGCAAAAACCTGGGAACTTTTAAAAAACTTGGACTGTTCAAAGTACACACTGAAAAATCATATGTCATTGCTAAAGTATGTCAAGACCTTTTCAAACTTGTTTATCAGTAGGGTGAATAAAACACTCTGCTTTCATGGTTTTAATTCTCTCAGGTATTTGTGTGGCTGCACCTGTGGAAATCCAAGTTGTGAAGGATATCTTCCTGAGCATTTATGTTCCTTATTCCGTGGTACGAGGGGAGCAAATCGAGTTAAAAGGATCTGTTTATAACCATAAAACCTCTGCAATTAAGGTAATTCGTGTTAATGAGCCCTGTGGAAGGATTGACATAGTAAACTAAAAAAGTATTTTTCCTGAGACTATCCAGGAGAAACAGATCCTTGGATTGGATTTCTTCAGTCCTTAAGCCAGTGTTATGTACTGCAAACAGAAGTAGCATTTCAGTAACAGAATGCTCAGGGCAGGATTTAATATTTATCTGCTGTTGTACCTGCCATGGAAATGAAACATTGAAATCTCTCCACCTTTCAGTTCTGTGTTCAAATAGCAGCTGGAAATGGAGTCTGTACCTTTGGAGATTCTGCAAGTGCAGGATCGAGGATGCAGAGCTGTAAATTGAAGAATCTGGATGCTGGTTCTTCCTCAGCAGTTACATTCCGGATCCTCCCTCTGGAATTGGGTCTCCACACTGTCAATTTTACATTGCTGACCCACAGGAATAGTGAAATTGTAGTTAAAACTTTACGTGTTGTGGTAAGGAAAAAATATTTTTTTAAGCATTTTTGAATTTCAAATTGGGTTCAGTTGAGTCAATATAGAAATTTTGCTTTATTTTAATATCACACAATGTTCTTTAATTCAATGAGGTGTGTGCAGTGGAAAAATGAATGGCTGAGTATTTGAGCACACCCATTTTTAAACCTTGATTATAAGAACTGAAAGATAGAATACTTTATTCTAAGTTGTTTGGTTTTGATTTCCACTGAAACACGATTTTTTTCCTTTCCTAAGGCTTAACTTAAATATTTTGTTAAATTTTCTCAAGAATTGTGTGAGCTAGAACACTAAAATTCACGTGTGCAAGAGTTAAGTCAAACTCAACTACAGAAAAAGAAGACAAAAATACTGTGCGTTTAACCTTTTGTTTCAGCTGATATATTTGATTTTAAAAAAATGTTTCCATTTTCTACCTCTTTCCTCATCATGATCCCAGCCAGAAGGCATTAGGAAAGAACTCCATGCAGGTTTCACTTTGGATCCACAGGGTGTTTATGGTAAGAAAATTGATGATATGTCTTTGTGTTATTTTTTCCTGGTCTTGATTCTTGATAATCAAGTTTTTCCTAATGTAAAAAACTTGGAGTTTCTCCTTCCTGAGATATTGTAAATATGTCCTTTCCCAAGGATTTCCTGCCTTGGCTTAAGAGAACTTGGATTAATTTATTGAGGGAAATTCAAATGTATCTTCTAGTGTGATGTGATTGTAAACTTTCCTCAGCTTTATTAAAGGGAATAGAATATGTTCTCATTTAACCAAATAAACCACAAAGTTTAGGTCCAGATCAGATTTTTTTTTTTGTAACAAAAGAAAGATAAAGAGTTTTCACCTGTTCCTTTTCAAAGCTTGATGTTGTTTGCCTGTGCATTTGGGAATATGTCTGGTTTTCACATTCTGGTTGCTGAATTCTCAGTTGTAACTTTCAACCTGTCAATTACAGCTGAATCGTCTGTTGATTTAGATTGTGCAGCATTTTATATATATGTATACACATCTTCAATTTCAGGTTCAATCAAGAGACGACAAGAATTTCGATACAAAGTCCCACTGAATCTGGTCCCTAAAACACAAATTGACAGAAGTGTCAGTGTAAAAGGTAAATAGAAACTTTTCATACCCTGCATTCCTCCTATTTTGTCTTAAGTTCATCTGATTTATTCTTTTTCTTTTGAGAGAAGGCTTTGCAAGTCCCCTTTAGTGTAGAAATTTAAACACTTCCCAAAAATGGCTGCTCGTGGATTCTGCCCTTGGGTTGGCTTTCACGACCTGCTGTTTCAATCAGTTTTTTGGGGTTTTTCCTTGCACAGGACACCTTATGGGTGAAGTGATGGCCACAGTGCTGAGCCCCACGGGCCTGCAGATGCTGAGCAGCCTGCCCAGGGGCAGTGCAGAGGCCGAGCTGATGAGCATTGCCCCGGTGTTCTACGTGTTCCGCTACCTGGAGGAGTCGGAGAATTGGCATTTACTGGGCCCGAGGACCCTGAGCTCCAGGACTCAGATGAGGAGGAAGATGAAAGAAGGTAGAAAACTCTGCTGTTTCTCTTGCTTCAGGGTTGTAGAGGTCCTTTGCTGAGTGAGAAGGGTGATACATCTCAGGGAGCAAATACGATTCTTATAACTTTGCTTGTTCCTGATGTATCCCTCAGGAATTGTGAGCATCTCGTCCTTCAGGAATGCAGACTGCTCCTACAGCATGTGGAAGAATGGGCAAGCTAGCACATGGTGAGCTGAAAGGGGTTTGGGCTGGAAAAAGCCTTATTTCACTCCCTTGCTTTCATATTTTCAGTAAGCACCAGACAAGAGTGTGATGGTAGATTTAAGCAGTGTTTACAACTCTGAATAATATCTTTTGATTCCTTACTTTCGCTTGCCAAACCTTTTCTTTGTGTCCGTAATTCACACCATGACAACCAAGATGGTTTTGGGATGTAATGAGTTCATACCTGAAACACAGGAATTGATCCTAGTTTAAAATTATTTCAGTAGTTATTTTCTATTTGTTAAGTTAAATTTAAAATTAACCTTCATTATTCCTTTGAACCACAGCAGTGTGTAGGATACAGAATCCTAAGCAGTGTAAATTTGTGTTTGCCCTCTGCAGTACCTGCCAATCTAAACAAGCAGGATCTCTTTGCTTCCCTTGACAGGTTGACAGCTTTTGCTTTAAGGATCCTTGGACAAGTGAATCAATACATTGATCTTGATGAAAAGTCTATTTGTGATACCCTTCTGTGGCTGATTGACAACTGCCAGATGCCAGATGGGTCATTCAATGAATTTTCTAACTACCAACCAGTGAAACTACAGGTACAAAACCCAAACCTTTTCTGTGCTTAGGCAGTAAAAGCTGAAGGCACCAAGAAATAAAGTGGTTCATATTTTAGGCTATATTTCATCAAAACACCTGTTCAAGACAAGTTTTCTCTTTATTCTAAATTCATTTAAAGCCCAGCACAGTCTTGCAGACCTTTCTGTTTTTTCGCAAAAAGTAGCTGCTTGCCACTTCTTAATATTCAGAAAAAGAATGTTTAGGTTCACTTCATAATCTAATAGTCCTGGCTCATGAATTGCTTAATGTGTTTTGGTTTTTTTACAAATGAGCTATTACCTTCCAAAGAGTCAATGTATTTTCAGGTTTAACTAAACTGGTAGTTTTTACAGGAATTTCTATTTATTTCCACAATTTAACACTGAGAAGCTCTATTTATTTAAATGAACTTTTATTTCTATTTCATTATTTTTATTATTTTATTTTTGTAGGGTACATTACCTCGAGAAGCGAAAGAAAAATCTTTGTATCTCACAGCATTTTCTATTATTGGAATTGACAAGTCAATGAAAATATGTCCTACTCAGGTAAACATTATTTTTATTTCTGCCCTCTGGGCTTCTAATTTCTTCCCTTTTCTTTGTTTTAAAAAAATCAAGATTTTTTTTTTCAGTTTCACAGATTTATTTGCTTTGTTAGTCTTTGTCTTTCAAAGCCAGCAAAAGAACAGCAAGGAACTTCCAGATTCATTATAAGCTAGTGTAGAAGACATTCTGTGTCTGTATAGTCCTGACAGAGAAGCTGTGTTTCCTTAGGGTCAGTGTGAGGGGTGTGAGCTGTAAGCTGTCCATGTTTGCAGAAAATCCACGATGCCAGGAGCAGAGCAGGGGATTATTTGGTGCAGAACGTGCAGCTGGCCCAGAGCCCCTTCACGGTGGCCATCACCGCCTACGCGCTGGCCCTGCTGGACCCCAACCACCACGCGGCACGGGTCGCCTTCTCTGCCCTGAAGAGAGAGGCCTTTGTCACAGGTACTGCTCCCTTCCCACTGCCCTGTCCCCATCAGCACCACATCTGCTCTCAGCACTTTGCAAACGGCAGGTTTTTAGCATAGGAGGGGTGGGCTTCCATCCTTGTTGGGTACAGAGCGAGCTCCTGCCCATCTCCTGGCCCAGTGCCTGTCCTGGGGTAGCAGAGCTGCTGCTGGGCTTGCACCTGGATCCTCTTCTCCTCCTGCAGGTGACCCCCCCATCTACAGGTTTTGGAAAGATGCTTTTAAAACACAAGACCAGCCAACACCCAACTCTGTCACTGCACAAATGGTTGAAACCACAGCCTATGCCTTGCTCACTACTTTGCTAAGAGGGGATGGAAACTATGCCAAGCCCATCATCAAGTGGCTCTCTGAAGAACAGAGATATGGGGGAGGATTTTATTCAACACAGGTGTGCTTTTACATATTTTGTCCTCATTCTTCAAGTACCGAGCATTTTCTTCCATCCCTGGACATTCAAGCCCAGCCTAGATGGAGCAACCTGGTCTGGTGGGAGGTGTCCCTGGAATGAGAGGGGCTTTAAGGTCCCTTCCAGTCCAAACCATTCCATGATTCTGTGATAGCGATATTTGAAGAGGATAATTCAATTAAATGACCACACTGCCAACATCAGAGTCCTGTGTATGGGATTAGTACAAAATGGCTCCATGGACATGGTATTTTTGGACTCTGGGAAATCTGATTTCTCTTAATTAAAATAAACTGAAATTTTATAAATAGAATCCATGGAGTTAATTCTTTTTGATTGATTTCTGACAGGACACTATCAATGCCCTTGAGGCCCTGACTGAATATTCCCTTTTTGTCAAACGGCTTCATTTGGACATGGATGTAAAAGTATCCTACAAAAATGGTGGACCCCTAAACTTATTTAAACTGACAGAAGACAATTTCGTGGGAAGAACTATGGCAGTGAGTGAATAATATTGCTTTAAAAAGGGAAACCAGAACTCTTAGCATCTTGGTAAATGATTATTTGAGCTTTGAAATAGCTACTAAAATAGCTTTTTTTTCTTATAACAAGCTGGTAATAATTTGGTATAGAAAATGTTTAAAGGCTTTGTTTATCTATGTTATTTAATATATTTGAATATTCATTTAAATTTAATATTTCTGCAGAATCTGGTACATATTTGAAATGTAAGCAAGACAAGCAGATCAGCTGGCCTGAATTGTTGCTAATTGTTGCTAATCTTTATTATTAATGTGCAACTTCTTGTTCCTCACCAATTCTTTAGGCACCTTTGCAAGATGATCTGTATGTAAGCACTGGCAGCAGCACTGGCATAGCTACAGTAAATGTAAGTTTGCAACCAGGTTTTTTAAATGGAATTTCTCATTTCTTAATGTGCTGGAATTTTGCTTAAGAACTCCCCATTTCTTTCTAAGCTAATAATTTGTTGGCTCTGCTTTGCTGGTATTTTTATGTTACCAATAAACCAGACTTATTGCTATCCTTCCCAGTGTGAGTTTTTACAGTTTTATGCCGGTTCTGAGGATTGTTTAATGCTGCTTCTCTTTTGTCTGATTTATCTGTGTGTGTGCAGGTGAGGACAGTGTATAACACCATTGGTACTTCTGAAGAGTCCTGTAACTTTGAACTGAAGATTGTTCCCAAGAGAGATGATGGTAAAGGGTTAATATAATTTAAAATGCTGCTACTCAAATCAGTGCAAGGGAGGGAGGGGAAAAAATCCTGAGTCTTTTATGAGTGTTTTTTACTAAGAAAAAAATTGATTCTGCTACTTTCTAAATGCAAAACTGGAAAAGAAAATTGCTAAAAGTTTTTTAGCCCTGTTTGAAATGACTGCTTTTTGTGAATAGAATTAATATTTACTTTATCTTCCAACTCTGAAAATGCTTTGTGAGAGTTTGTGAGAGTTTTGGGCTGCTGCTTCTGGAGAGTTCTGAAATTCTTTGGCTCCACTTGCCACGAACAGGTCGCATAAGAGGAGATGGGGAACCCCTGGGGCGCCTGGAGGCTTGTGCAAAGTAAGTGCAGTGAGTGAGGGGCTGTTTATTAATAATTCCACCAGCTCTCTTCATCTTTTCTTTCTGTTTCTTCTCTGTTATGTACATGTGTAAATAGAATTAGAGCCAAAGGTCATGATCTCTGTGGGGAGGAGTCTTCAAGTTATATTTGGGCTCTCCTGGAACATAAACATTAAAAGCTTCTTAATGCGTGGCATTGACATAAATCTGAATGGATTCATCTGGACTGTTTTGCTTCACTACGAGTTTACTGTGGCCTAAATGTTGACAGAATTTTCCTCATTTTTTTCTGGGATCACATTCAAGTAGGTCTGTTTCATTTCAGTTATCATTGATTAATACTGGTTTTAATCTAACTCAGGTACAGGCCCAGTGCGAGGGAGCCCCGGTCAGCGTCTGCTCATGCTGTGATGGACATAGGGCTGGTCAGTGGAGTGGAAGCCAATCCAGAGGATTTATCTACTGCAAGTATTCAAGAATGGTTTTTCCCTTCCTGGCTTTATATGACAGATCTGTAACATTTACTGTTCATTTTTTTCTGTGCCCTGCAGCTTGCAAGTGGAGTTGATCAACTGATAGCAGATTATGAGATAGAAGATGGGCATGTTCTTCTGCAGATAGACTCTGTATGTTACCCCTTCCCTGACTGTAAGCACTGCTTTAACTCTTTGGAATCATTTTGCCTCCTTTAGAGCTCTTTAATTCATGTTTCTCTCAAACAGGTGCCAGCTCACAAGTTCCTGTGTGTTGGCTTCAGGATCAGCGAGCTTTTCCGGGTTGGAATGCTGAACCCTGCCACCTTCACTGTGTATGAATATCATGCACCAGGTATGTGTTCCAGCTCTTCACATCCTTGTTTGCCTTTTAGCTCTGTTTTCCACCCAAAGAATTAACAAATTAACAGATTTTTTACTCCATTTTATGTGAAGCTCTGGTGACTTTTGCCTCGCCAGGTTTCAGTGTTGATGTCTTAGACTTTGATTTTCTACATGTGTTTTTTATTTCTAGACAAAAAATGCACCATACTTTATAATCCCTATGGAAATGAAAAACTCGTGAGATTGTGTGAAGGAGATGAATGCAAATGCATGGAAGGTAAGCTTTATCTGAAGAGGCTTTTTCATTTTACTTGGTGGGAAAATGCAGTGTACAAAACCACAGTGAACATAAGGAAAAAGCCCTCATAAGAACACAGCTGTTTCCCCTGCATATTTTACATTAGAAGAAATTTAAAGCTGTGTGCAGTGTGATCATGGAAGTCTGACTGGATTAAGCCTGATGTTCAAGGGCGTTATATTGTATTTTAAATATTCACTGTTCCAGCATGCAATCCCATAATTACGGTGTTGCTCAGTTAATTTGCCCATGCAGGATGATGGAAACCCACGTTTCCTTTGGGGACATGTGCTGGCATTCTCTTACCTCTGCCTTTCTCCTCGTAGCTGAGTGTGGTAAAGTCCAGGAGAGGCTCGGCCGGTCGGTAACTGCTGAGAGCAGGAGAGAGGCTGCCTGCCAGGGGGACACTGCTTATGGTAATGGGGCTCTCACTGCCTCTTTCCCTGCTCTCAAATGGCTGTTTGCTCTGTCTGCTGCTGCTGCAAAACATCTTGTTCAAATTACAGCTGCAGTGGTTAGAAATTCAGTGTGGCATAGAGTAATGTAGAGAAAAGTGAGTTCTACCCACAGCTTCCCTCAGATTAGGTGTGGGTAGGACTTCTCAATGCTTTCTGTCCCTATAACCATTTAACCATTGCATTCCCAGAAATCAGTGTTGTAAAGGGACACAAAATTCTCCCTCTGAGCATCTCTAAGACATTCAGGATACATGGCAGGAACAAGGAATGACCAGGTTCTGCTTTGTGTCGTTCTGCAGTTTATAAAGTGAACATCTCATCTCGCAGTGAGGAGGGTTTTTTTGTGAAGTATTCTGCAAATCTTCTGGACCTCTATAAAAGGGGTGAGTTCCATGTTTCTGCTCCTGGGAGAAAGGAGTTGGAATGCTCTTAGGCATTCACTGTCTTACCTGTTGCTCATAGGGCCTGTGGAACTGAAGCTGATGTTCACTCCTTTGTCCTCTGAGTTTAAGCGTCCCATATTTCCTTAAAATTACTATAATATAAAATTATTTAATGTGCACAAGGCTTATTTACCATTCAGATTTAATTGAAAAATCCTTTACAAGAGACATGTTTTATATAATTTAATTTTCCTGTTATAGAACAGTGGCAAAGAGATCCCCTGGCTGTGCAGTATTGTAGAACATTTAATGTTTTCTCTCTAATATATATGCATTACTGGAAATTCTTTCTGTGTAATTGTCCAATTCTGGATTTTTTTTTTTTTTTTTTTTTTTTTTTTACTTCAGGGCAGGCTTTTGCTCAAAAAAATAATGAAATAACCTTTGTTAAAAAGAAGACTTGCACAGAAGTTGAACTGAGCCCAGGAGAGCAGTATTTGATCATGGGAAAAGAAGCCTTAAAGATAAGCGTGGGTTACAGTTTCAAGTAAGTCATTTACCACAAGGATATGCTGAGATTTAATCTTAAAGTGTTTGTATGCAATAATTCTTGTGAGATACAGAATTGATTTAATTTTGAAAGTATTCAACCAGCAGTCACACGATGTGCACACTTAAAGCAGGATTATGAACACAGAACAAGCACTTCCATATTGTAATTTTTTTCTGTTTCCTTTTCCTTCCCAAATCTTAGCAGCAAATGATCATTTTCTGTCGTCTTTTTAGATTCCAGTACCCTTTGGACTCCAGCACTTGGATTGAGTGGTGGCCTTCAAATACAGCCTGTGCATCCTGTCAGGAGTTTCTGAACACACTGGATGATTTTGCTGAAGATCTCCTCATCAGTGGCTGTTAATTCACTTGGACAATTTTTAAATTAAAAATCCAGATCGAATCCCATTGTAAAGAAGAAAAATCCTCACCTATTTATTAATTCTTTTTGACTGAGCACTCATTAAGAGTTACCATGAAAAATTATCTTGGCATGTATTTTATCGCAATGTTATTACAGCAGAGTAATGCTCAAATATGATTTTTAAGCTTGGATGAGAGGCTAGAATGGAACAGTGCAAAGACATTTGAAGTCAAAAGAAGTGGATTGCCTGCAAAAACAAACATGAAAAGCACTGTCTTGTCCTTAAACCTAAGTCTTATCAGAACATAAATATATGCAGCCACTTTGTTAGCTGTCTGTGTAAAAAAACTTCATTCCTTAGCTTTTCCTTTTGTACTCTTTTTTTAATTCCTGCATTTCCATTCCTGACAGTAACTGATGCTGGTTTTATGCTCTACTTTCTTGTAAAAAAAAAACAAAACCAAAAAAAACCCAACCAAAAAAACACCCAAAAAAACCAAAACTATTCAATTATATGTGTGCTTTTCATTATTTGTGTTTCAAGACAAACGTTACTTTGCATTTGATGACTGAATTTGACAGTTAAAAATCTTGCCTTGCCTCCAGGAAAGTGGCAGATGAAAGGCCAATTTTCCTGCTCACAGCTCCTGGCACAAATCACCTTGGTTCCCAGTAAAACTGAGAAGAGAATTTGATACAAAGTACAGTTGCACACGTTTTTATTTGTATTGAGGAGTTGCCCAAAAGCAGCACGTCCAAGAACTTTAAAATTACTGTTTTCCCTCTCTCTTAGGAGTATCTCAATCCAGAACATTTAAGATGTGGAAAGAAGATAGTCAGAGATGATGCAATTTTTAATTTTGGCTCTGTGAGTATTTAACTTTATTTTTTTATCCTCCAAACTTTCTAAGAAGCACTAGAAGCTCACACTGTGTCCAGCAATAGCTGGATGTAAATTCAAACTGCAGAGAGCAGTACATGGAAATGCTCAGTTGGGCTGTCTAGACAGGCACCAGTAAACATTTCTGTTTCTGAACTGGTGGCTGTATATTGTGAGACCTAATTATCTCTTTAAATGACAAGGAGCATGTCTTGTTTTCGCAGGTGATTTTGACATTTAAGTTCTATTGATTTTTAGTGAGCCAGACTGCAAAAAAGGCTCCTGAGGACTAGTTATTTAAAAATAACACATTAAAATGCTGCTCTTAAATCTCGAATTGCAGTCACTAGTTTAAAAAAACCTTTTATCTTATTTGTTATCTCTGTTTCTATTCAGAATTAACAATCCAGTATATCGCTGAGATCAGTAAAATACTTCAAATACATGTATTTAAAAGGGAACTTTTGTACAGATAATTAGCCAGGTGTAGGATGGAGGTGTGTACAGATCCCGGTGTCAGGAAGATTTACCTTCCCCACGTGGCATGGCTTGACTTTCCCAGCAAAACCACGTGGGGGAAAGGTATATCTGTGTCTTCATCTGCTTCCACATGCAAATGATGTTGGCAGATTTCTGCAGGGCCTCATTAGCAGGACAAGAGAAAATGGAAGTGCCATGGGAGTGATTTTAGAGCTCAGTGCCAACCTTAGTGCCTCATGGTCAGAGAGTTCTGAGGCACCAAACAGCCCCCAGGATTAAGCCCAGCAAACATGGAAATTCTTGGAATAATCACTGCTTAGGTGACTCATCTGTATTATGAAATGGAAATTATTTCAAAGCACATTCTGTCCTTCCAAGCTTGCTGTGGATTCTGGACACCAGAGCTTTTCTCTCTGAATTGTACACAGTGTTTTTTTGTTCCTTGCTTGTTTATGTCTATGATGTGCAAGTCTCCAAATGTTCCAGCCTTTGAATCCCCAGCCAACAGCTGTAGTGCTTCCAGAAAAACTTGCATTTCCCTGCCCCACTGCTGCCCAAAGGCCAGGCAGTGTCAGGTGACTGCTCTGCCTCCCTGCTGATGAAGTGGCCTCAGAGCTGAGTGCTCCTGCCCACGTTTATCCTCACATTTCCAAAAAAAACCGGATGGCTGGCCTTGCCTGCACAGATAATCTCTGAAAGCAGGACTCTCTAAGGGTAATTAAATAAGTTTGGGCATTATACTTTTATTCCTTTTTCATATATTTCCCTTTGAATAAGGAAACTCAGCAGATGCCATTCAAATGTGATTCTCCCTGGGTACTCTTGGCAGGCCAGAGTTGGTTGAATTCCAGAGATTATAACAAATCTAAGGGTTAATACTGTGTTATCCTTTAGCTCTTTTAAAATACCTATTTCTGTGCATTTCCATTTGTATTTTACTGGTTTTTAGACAGCTAAGCATCACAAATTGAACTCATTTCTCTTTTCATTGCAACCAGAAATTAATCTCAATGGCCCGAGCTGGTGAGTGACTTGAATAGCCCAAATTCCAGCCTGTTATGCACAGTGACATGTGAAACTCACACTTTGGTCTGGACTGAAAGCTGCTGGGCTGTGCCAAAGAGCTGTGACTAATTTAGGGAGAGAGCCAATGGGTGCCTTGCTCTGGCCATTGTTCCCCAAGCAGGGAAGGAGTGATTTTGTGGGTAGAATCTTTCAGGACATGCCACAAGCCCTAGGTAGTCTTACTCAGCCAAGTGCTCTGACAAAAATGATGTGGAATTGGGAATACCTGACAATTTTAGAAGGGGAATGGTAAATCCCTATTGCAGGTTAGTATTATTACTTCTAATATACTTCTAAATACCTCCATAGTGACTGCTGTAATTCCCTCCTGGCTGACCCCAACACATATATTAAATACTAGATGGAAGAGAAGAATGCTCCCATGAGCTAGGAGGGTGCAAGTCCAAGTTACCACATAATTTTTATTTTGTTATGATGCTCCACTCTCACCTGAAATCATTTGGGATGGGAAAAATACTCACTTCATCACAGTGAGTTTGTTCAGTGCATGTGGGCAATGCAAAGCCAGAATATCACACAAAAATTCTTTTCTATTGTTTGCACAGCAGTGTAAGTGTTCAGTGTAGGGACAGTCTCTCTTCTGAGTAAACAAGTGGAGCAATACAAAATCCTTGAATAGAATCCTTAGTAAGATTCCTTTCAAGTTCAAAACACTTCTAATAAACAATATAAAACACCCATTTCCACAAAGGAAGAGTTGTGGAATCAGCTGGGAGGGGTCTGTGGGTCAGAAGGGGTGTCAGGAGATGAGTGAACACAGAGTAAGGAAATCCATTTTTTTCTTTTGATTGGAGATGATTTTGTAATTTAAAAAATTCACTGTCTAGGAGCTGGAAATTTGGTGTCCATCCATGTGGGTTGTCTCACTTGACCCTGCCGACAGAGGCCTATTTTCAGTCTGTGTAAATGTTAATGTTTAGACATGTCTCCCAGCAAAATGTGTTCTTAATCTGCTGCTGAATTCTTACATCAGAACACACAGAAATTTAGCATGGCTGTCAGTTATTTTCCAGTAAAACACCCACCTTATAGCAGTTACATATGCTTTCAATTTTTAGGATATTTAATAATGTTTTCATCTCTAATTAAGAGAAATATCTGGGTTTGGCTCTTTCATTCTCCAGGGAACCAAGAGTTTGCTTTTGCCAATTGCTGGATCATTACAGAATTCCAGTCCTTGTGTTAAATTTTGCTTTTCAAGTTCTGAATGAACTTGGAATTTGGATACATGTTTAAGCAGCAACTGATTTCCTGGAAAATACTAAACTGGGTTAAACACCACAACTCTCTTAAAAATAACATTCAAATGTAGAAAACAATAGCAGAGGGATCCTGAGTAAAACTTGCTCTATTCAACCCTTTCTTTTCTATCCCAGGAAATATTTGTTACACACAGGGGGTTATTTATAAAATGGTTATATTTACCCACATTCAGAGCTAGAAGTCACGAAATGCAGATTATTCCTAAGGTGCTGTGGTTCATACTTAGAGTTCCTTTGTTTATTTGCTACTTGAGGGCAAAAGGGGCAATTTCTTTTACAGGAAAAGTAAACAAAAAGTTATATTAGACACACTTTAAATCAGCTGAGATATTAAACCCCCAAAAATGGCATTTACAGTGGAAAATCTATTTTCTCTTAAGGGCAGCAGCCCCACTGGTGCCAGTTTAAAGGACTCCAGAGCACACAGAGGTTCAGAGCTGGGTTTAGTGCTCTGAGGCTGGTTCCAAGGAGCCCTGATAGGGACTTGAACTGTCTAAATTGGCTTTACAAGAGGAGCCCCAGCAGCACATTCTTTCCACTGATAATTCCTTGTTCCCTGCAGTTGGTACCATGAGGAGCACATCCGCAGCTAGAACAAATCAGTACCATTGAAATTATTTTGGAGGAGCTACACTTGATATCTACACCTGCAGATACAGGATTTCTTCAATTGCAGCACAAAAAAACAGTGGGAAAATTGCTTTCCAAAGAGGAAATATGTCAGGAGCACCTCACCCATCCCCAGTGACGGAGATGCACTGTGCCAGTTTGTACCTGCTGAAAGGTGATTTCAATATACAGACATAAACTGAGGTGTTGGTGACAGGCTGGGCCTAAGTGGCAGCTGTGACCAAAGTCATTCCTTTGCTGCATGGCTGAGTCTGGCTCTGCCAGGGTCTGATTAGCCAGGTTTCCTTCATTACTTATAAAAAGCAATATGCCATAAAAATGTCATCTTCACTGCTTAAATCATAAAATTTTCCATTAAAACCTTCTGCCATAAGGTCCTAGAGGATATTCATCCCTAGGCTCTGACAGGGAGGTGGAAATCGGTATTAATTTCCAGCAGCAGTAAATTCCAACAGTTTGAAGTCACCAATCTATGTAATATTAAAGTGTGGGCTTTTTTTTCTAAGCTTCTGTTTTGGTCAGGAATCTCAAAAACAAGGTAGGATCAAAAGTTTCCTATGGAGCCATGAGGGATCAGATTAATCCATGACATAATTTAGCAGGATTCCATGGGTTTATACCAGAAACTGGGGGAATGTATCTAAACCTACATGAGCTCCTGGGTATCCCTGCCCTGATCCTGCCAATCCCCATGCCCGGTTCTGAACTGGGATTAGTCCCAGCCCAGAAACACTTCCCAGGGGAGTCCCTGGGCTTTGAAACAAGATATTCGTGATAAGGAAAACTGTTGGATGTGAGTTTAGAGAACCAGATTTAGGAAATGCTGGATTTCCTTCCAGTCCATGTCTTGCCTCAAGTAACCCCAGGCTTTCCATGTGAAACCTCACCACAATTCCTGCTGCCCTCCAAAGCCAGGCTTTGGTTCTTTTGGTTTCTTCCAGGCTCCCCCTGACCCTGGGCAGATGGGAGCATTCCCTGTGTGCCTCCTTCGCTGGCTTTGGGGTTCCAACACCCACTTTGTGATTCACATGTTGGATGTGGAGCTGCAAGTTTTGTTTCCTTGGCTGGATTCCAAGGACGCTGCTGGGAACATGTCTGGGATTTTGGGCTCTTGGGTCCCATCACTGGCACAGCTGCCAAGAGGTCTGGCCTCAGGAGAGGGCTCTTTTTATTCAGGAGTTTAAGCATGTACCTGTTTCTCCTTTTCAGAATATAGACCTGTTACTTTTACCTGCTTTCCCCACTTCCTACTGTAATTTTTCATTCAGGCTCCTCCTATGCTTAAAATTTATTTTCCTTTCTCCTTGAGAGTCCTCTTTAAAAGCATCTTGGTTTGTGAACACTCACGAGCTTTCCTTCTTGCTGTAGCAGTGTTTTGTTGAGGGCTTTGTTTTCCCTTTACAACACAGATAAAGAGAATTTTGTATTCCCCTTGTGAAACCTCAGATAACACTTGGAGCTTCTGTGTTCCCTGGGTGTGTTGCCCATAAAATACAGGTACAAATAGACATGTCAGTGGTGGTGTGGCAATTACTCAGGATTATGAATCACAATGAAAAATACTATTGCAAAGCTGAGCCTGATGCTGTTAGTCATTCTGCAATAGCAAAGGGAATTATGGGCTCAGTGGAGGAGAGATGCAAGTTAGTGCAGAGTCAGTCTCTTTCTGCTTCTGACATGTGGAAAACATCTTCAAACATCTTTATTTTTCACTGTTCTTAGCAAAATGAGCAGCTTCTGAAAGGGTTAAAAGAGATTTGCCATAACCTTCACTTTCCCCTCAGTTATTGTCATTTATGAGAATTAATGAAGATATTAAATAAATCTGATGTTTCCTTTTTCTGTTTCCACTAATTAGTCCCAGTCAATCAACAGAATATCCACATTTCCCCAGCTGGTTTAGAGTCAAAAGATATCTGAATCTGAACTTGTTTTTTCATGTCACATCCAGAGCTTTGGAAGAGTGTTTTGGCTGGCTTCCCCACAGGCACAGCTCCCATTCCCAGAGTTCTCTCCAAAGCATTAAGAATGGAAATAAGCAGCTCAGAATTTTCCAGTTTAGCTCAGGCTCTGTGTACGTTAAGAGAAACAGAAGCACAACCACAAGTACAGCAAAACCCTTCATGTGGCCAGAGAGCTGAGCTTCAGCTGGGAAACTGCCACAAACTGGTCCATGCTGGGCTCACACGCTGCAGCCCACGTTTGTCCTGCTGTGGGGGGACAGTGACTGAGGCATGAGACCACCAGGGAGCTTCTCCACATGAAGATCTGCCTGCTGGCCTGAACTCAGAGGCAGCTTCAGAAATCTCTCAGTGATTTACTCTGAAATGTTCTTGCTTGTAGGAAACCATCAAGGCCACTGTGATAGAGAGAAATACTTTCATTTTCTCTCTGCTCCTCAGGGTGATTCCTTGGCTTGGTTTGTGGAAGCTGCTTAAATGAGTGACTGAAATAAGCCCCACACACACATATATATGTATATAAAGTGTTTATTTTTTGGGTGCTTTTCTCCTGTCAAATGCTAGAGAGGTGCTCCAGAGCATCTATTCTTTTGGAGGAAAGCATTCCTAGGATAATACTGTCTTACAGAAAATGCTATCTGCAAAAAATCCTGAGCAGAGCAGGGATGAGGAAAATAAAATCAGTTCCTGATGTGTCTTTGAGGGTTACAGTCCAGCTCTTATGAAACTTAGTGGGGAAACTTTCCTGCTCTTTGGGACTGGTCTTTGGGGCATCCCCATAACAAAGCAGAGCTACAACTGGTAGTAGGCACAGACAGATAAAACTGAAACATGTAAAAAATTTTATTAGAAACAAGAGGTTGAATTGTAGCAAAGTTGTCGAGTTTGCTGCAGATAACAATAATCAGATTTAATTATTCTTCTTTTTCTAATCTTGAATTGGTGGAACCCCACAGACACTCTGTTCCATTCACAAAACAAGTAATAGTGTGGAAGTTACAGAGCTCCTTCATATCAGAGCTCTGAACAGGCAGGAGTCTTGACCTGAAGCACTGAGCTCCAGTTCCTAGAAGTACTGAATCTCATAGGCACTGGATTTGCTTTTACTAGCAAATTTTCCTTCCTGTGTTTTACCCATTTTTCAGGTTTTCATAGAACAAATGCACATTTCCAGCTAATTTATACTGATTGAAAATCATGTTTTCATAGAATGTGACATCCCTATCTTAAACATCTCTCTGAAATGCAATTATCCTTTTGACTACAGTCTTTAAAACCCAGAGCATCTGAGCCTAAATTCCATTTTCAATGTCCTATGAAATTTGTAGCATTAAAAGTCTCAACACCTTGGCTTATTTTTAAAAGGTGGTATTAAATATGGGAATATATTCCCTTATGCACTTTTTCCCTAGCATATAAAATGATCATTATATGTTACTTAAATAGTAACACAGTGCCCTGCAATGCTGAGCACTGCTGGAATGGCTCTACAGTAAAATTAAGCTTCAAATTTTAATCTCTCTCTGAGCCACATCCTGTTTTCAGTTAACTGATCTCATATGGGGGAAATTTACCACAGGAAATCTCTCTAGTTTGGAAAGTACCAAAACCTTATCTTTAGTTTCTTTGTGTAATTCAGCACCTTTGGAGACAGAGGTGTAACAGAATCACAGACACTTTCAAGAAGTCTCAAAGCAAGAGGAAAGGAGTGAGTTAAGGGCACAGGGAAGAGGTGGAGCTGCCACTTCATTCCTGAACCTGACCCTGTGGTGCAACACTGATCATTCTAAAATTAACATCTTACACCTCTTTATATCCCCAAAGTTTGAAAAACCACATCTAGAATTCTTTCCTTTTCTGTAAGAGATTTAAACTCCCATCCTGGCAGAAACTGCCCAGGCCAGATTAATTTGTGATGAATTTTAACAACCCAAATGAGGGCAAATGGGTCAGGCCGAGGCCTCACTGGGGCTGTGTCACACTTTCCCCATAACAGCCAGCCCTGGTGACTCTGAACTGCAGATCTGCATCAGATCAGCACCTCAGACGCTGCAGATCAGCCCAGGGAGGAGGGAAGTGTTGCTGTGTCTGTCTGTCTGTGCCAGCCTTGCGGCAAACGCCCCGAGCACCAATCCCTCAGCAGGCAGCTCACAGCCACAGGGACTGCGGCAGTGGCTCCTGTCAGGGCAGCGATGCTCAGCCAGTGAAACACCCACAGAAATCTAAAATAATCTTTCAGAATACCTCTGCTTTTCACCGTGAGCTCTGAGCAGGGCCTCACCCCCAGGGATGGTCCCCACAAGGAAGAGTGAACAGATTTGCATGTACAACTCTTTTTCTGACTGAATCCTCTGTCAGAACTAGAGAGGATGGCAGCAAAGGGAGCTGTGTCAGGGGTGAAGAGGTCCATTCTTGTGCTGATAATGAAACTTTGCTTTGTATAATCTTTACTGCACTCTAAGAAGGCTTTGGAGGCACTGCTGAACCCCTGTGTTCCCCTGCCGTGCTAGCCCGAGCTGCGTTGGAGGCTGAGGCACAGCGGGGCTTCCCCGGTGAGCTTTCCCGGAGGCTCCAGAGGCTCCGGGCTCCATCCCGGACCTGCACGGGCTGTCCTGAGCTCCTCCATCCCGAGGCCATGCGGGGGATGTCGCGGTCAGGACTTTCTGTCCGAGTCCCCGTGGCTCACCCGGCAGCGCTGCGCTTTCAGGAACCGGCCGCCCGATTCCCGTTTCGGCTGGCCCGGGAGAATTTACCTCGCGGGGCCTTTCCTCAGCCAATTCCCCGTGCCCGGGGGCCGGGACAGCGCCGCTGCCCCGAGCAGGGGAAGCCCCGCTCCCGCCGGCCCCGGGGCGCGGCTCGGGCTGCCCGCTCCTCCCGGCCGGAGCGAGGCAGCATCGCCCGAATCCAGCCCCGCCGCCCCGCCGCGGCTCCGGTACCCGCGGGGAGCGCCCGCCCCGGGCCCGGCGGGCTCAGGTACGGGAGAGGCGGGGATGCAGGGAGGGATGGAGGGGAGCGGGAGGGATGCAGGAGAGCGGGAGGGATGCAGGGGAGTAGCAGGGACGGAGGGAGGGAGGGATGGAGAGGAGCGGGAAGGATGGAGGGGAGCGGGAGGGATGGAAAGGAGCGGGAGGGATGCAGGGAGGGAGGGATGGAGAGGAGCAGGAGGGATGCAGGGGAGCGGGAGGGATGCAGAGAAGCAGCAGGGACGGAGGGAGGGAGGGATGCAGAGGTGCGGGAGGGATGGAAAGGAGCGGCAGGGATGGAAAGGAGAGGCAGGAATGGAGGGGAGCGGGAGGGATGGAGGGGAGCGGGAGGGATGGAAAGGAGCGGCAGGGATGGAGGGGAGCGGGCCCCGCTGCGGAGAACCGCCCGCGGCCCCCGGCCACACGGGCCCGGTGCCCGAATCGCGCCCCGGGAGCGCCCGGAGGGCAGCGGGGGCTGGCCGGGGGTCCTGGCCGCTCTCGACCGGCCTGAGGCGGGATGGGCGGCTCGGAGGGACCCCCGAGCCGGGCACGGAGCGCTCCGCGGGCGGGGCCGGTGGCGGCGGGGCCGGGGCTGGGGCTGAGCCGTGAGCCCCGGCACCCACTGAAACACCTTCGCTTCCATGACCTTGGTGTTGCCGGCTCTAATCCAGGGCTCTGGCAGGCCGGGCAGCCCCCGCTCCGATGCTGCAGAGGGAATTGGCCGAGCCAGGCCATGGAAAACTCTGCGTGTTCCCAGGCAGAGCCTCCGGCCCGCGGTGTGCCCTGCCCACCTCACGGCAGTCACACCGCCAGCCTGGCCTGCCCACGGCAGCCTGATTCATTTATTTTCACATTTCTCAGCCAGCGTGACTATTGGTAATACTGAGACAGGTTATGGTGTGTCAGTACTGTTATGGGGAAAAAAAAAAAAAAAAAAAAAAAGCTTTATAAAGGTGTTATTATACTCAAACTGCACCAGTTCCCTGGGTGAAAACCGTCCTTGGACTTTCCAAGAGACATCAGAATCAGTTTCAGCTGCATTTCCAAAAAGATCCCACTGCACAGCAAACCAAACCAAAGGGAATGTGCATGACACCTTGGCACATGTGGCTCCAGATGTGCCGGTTCGGAGCACAGCATCAAGGGCTTCTGGACTTGGGATTTCCTTTGTCACTTCACCACAAGTCTTATGACTTCAGAAGAGTCACTGTCAACACACCAGCTGATCAATTTCTGTGTGTATAAAGTGAAATCACGAATTTTGAGAATAGATGTGGTTGGGGATTTACTCAAACAATCCTCTGTGATGAGGACTGATGGGACTGTAGCTCATCTTTCTACCAGCTAAAAACTCTTGAAAGAAAACCCCAACCCTCCCTTTTTAGGACCCTGTCTATTTTTGTGTTGTGTTTGAGGGAAATTTTAAAGGTGTACAGTAATTTCCTGCTGGTGCCAGGTCAAACCCCACTGTGACATTTGGTCACGCCTGTCACTGCAGTAACACTGCGAGGTTACTGCTCAGCTTTGGGGCTCCTGGGGACTGTGGTGCATCCTCTCACATCCAAGTGAGTGTTTGAGCAGCTGGATTTTCTCTCCTCTCACTCAGTTCTCGCTTCAGATGGCTGAGAACAGCCCCAGGAGCCTGCAGGGACCCCCCGGCTCTGCCCCTGACGAGAACGAGTTCCCTTTCGGATATCCCACCAACATCTGCGAGGATGTGCCTGGGCACAAGTTCCTGTGCAGCAACTGCAACAACATCCTGAAGAAAGCCCTGCAGACGTTGTGTGGGCACAGGTACTGCTCTGCCTGCCTCGCCTGGATCCTCAGGTAGGTGCTGGGCTGTGCCTCTGGGCTCTGGGGCTCCCTGGCCCTTTCCTGCCCGCAAGGATTTCCCGTGGTGGACTGCAGGATATTTATTCCCTGCCTCCTCCTTGTTTCCACCATGGAAGTCTCAATGGTCTGATGGAGTTTTGCTGTCTGTGATTTAATAATTCTGATTTAACCTTGAAGAACTGGTCCAAGGCTGACTTAATCCTTCCGTGGCACTTCACAGCCCTTTGATGAGGGATGCTATGGGGTTTTAGTGAATATAATGTCATATATGTCTATATCTGTCTGGGCAAAATGGGCATTTTCTGTGTTTTAAGCTACTTCAGTTTTCACATTCTCTTTCCTACTTGGAGTTTTTGAATCATTCATGGGATAAATAGCTTTCCATCTTTATTCCTTTTTATGGTTCAGGCTGCCCTTGTTTTACTTCAATATAAATTAGATTGATGGACATAGTCCTGATCTTGAAGAATAGAAGAGCAAAACTTTTTTAACATCAGTGTGTCCAAGAATTAGCCTTTAGTGAACAAGAATTATGGATTCGGAGTGGAAATCACAATTTTCATGGTTTTATTTGTGTCAGTGCCTGTACAGGCACATCCTTAAACTGCAGTGCACAAATGGATTGGTATTTAATTTTTCTTTCTTTTTACCAGAAACAATAAAAATGCAATTTGCCAGAAATGTAAAGAGGAAGATCCCAACACTTTAGGTGAGGAAAGCCTATTGGCAGAAGAAAGGGTAAGTTGTAGTTCACAGATCATTAATTTATCAATAACCATTCTCTGTAGTCATCACTGGACTGGAGTTCAGAAGGGAATGCTATAAAATGCAATAGCAGCTAATAGTTACACATTTTAACTTAAGCTTTAATAACTTGGATGTCCCAGAGTTTTTTGAGTTTAAAAAGTGTAATGGCAGCCTCAGGACTTCCCAAATCCAGGTTCTGCAATGTAAAATCCCAAACTCTTCCATATGATTAACTTTTTATTGTCTCAAAATAACTGGTGCTTTCCTACTTGTAATAATATGTCTTAACTGTTACTTATCATCCTCAGGAAGTACTTTAATGGATTTTCCAACCTCATGGTTTATTGTACCCTTCGAACATGAAGCTGAACATAATAATTGATGCAAACTATGCTCTGGCCAATGTTTCATCTGGGATTTAATGGTGCAGATCTCTTCTTGTGTGATTTTCCTGGCAAGTTGCTGTGCTGATCTGTATCCCAAATGCAAACTGGGCCCTAAGGCCCAGTCCCAGCCTGTCTTTTTCCCTCCTCTCTTATTACAGGCAAGGATATCAACAGACACATAATCTGTCTAAATTTTTTAGGGAAAAATGAAAACAAATAGGCAGCTGACAGTGGCATAAAAGCCAAAGTTTAGACAGCAGCAAAATAATGGATCTGCTGCTGATGCTGAACTTGTTGATATCCCAGAAAAAAGAAAAAAATCCTCATTTCTGGAATTAATTTCCCAATGACAGATCTCCTGCACAAATAGGTGCAGCTGAGCCCTTCTGAGCTCGCTGTGCTTTCCTGTCAGTTTGGGATTTCTCTACTGTGGGGTTCTTTTGGGTGTGCTGGGACTTTCTGCACTGGGGGCTGTGAAGTGACCCCACCGGGGCTGCCTGGCAATTCTCTGCTCCAAGGGGGAAGAGCATCTCCCGTGCCCGTCATTCCCAGCAGATGCTGGCTTGATTTTCAGGAACTTTGAGACTGTAAATACTTTCCTGCTTCTCTTTGTAAAGCTTTCTCCTCTAAATCCTTGCTCTGTGTTATTCCGTGTGAAATCTGCATTTCTCTGCACTGTGCTTACCTGCAGACTATCCAAAAATACCTTTAACTGTGGCAGGGCTTCTTCTTGTGCCAGGATCCCTGTTTTGGTGCAAGATGTAATATTTAAGTGTGCAGTATTTCATCATTACATAGCAATTGTACAATTCCCCGTGTTTAAATAACACAAAAATCTACGTAGTGTAAAGAACAAACCTCTCTCCCATCTGATTAATATATTTTTTTCAGCACAATGTGTCTAAATGAGCGCAGCCCAGATCTGAGCAGTGCTCTCAGTGCAGAGACTCTCAACTCCTCTCTGCAGCACGTTCAGGAGGTGTTAATGACCCCGATAATGAAATGCATTCATTAAGGGACCCCACAGTCAGGGTCCTGTCAGCACCTCGCTGCGTGTGAAATATTTCAGGCTCCTGTGAAAAGAAATGCAAAATAAAAGCTGTAGTTGGCCGGGCTTATTTTCAGTAAATTAACATCGTGTCAAATAGATTAATTTTGAGTGCTAAGAAATAAATTATTTAATAATTATTTGGGCTTCTACTACACTAAGATTAACTTGCCAAGTCACAGAGTCTTATGCAATACAGTAAATTTTTTCAAAAATTAAAGATTTATCAAGGTGTGGATTTCTACCACCCTATTCCTATTCCAAGGATGTATCCAAAGGTACTTTCTCACCAATGTTTTTTTCCTTACTTTATTTTCTTTCCAGGCTTTTGGTGATGCTGCCATTAATAAAGAGATTTCTGAACTCAGAGTCCACTGTGTGACCCTTGGGTGCAGCTGGTCTGGTATCATGAAAGATTTTGAAGTATGTTCAAAGAGAGTTTATTCAGATGAATATGGAGTGGGGACAGAGAGACAATGAAACCAGGATACCAGCAGACACAAATGAATGCGATTAATTAGAATCAGCATCAGTATTGTGATTTATACCAATTTTTTTTGTCCAAAAATGTGCCATTAATCTGTGGAAGGTTCCCTGCCCATGGCAGGGAGTTGAGACTGGATGATCTTTAAGGTCCCTTCTAACCCAAATCATTCTGTGCTTCTCTGATTAACTTTAGCAGGGCTTTGGCCAAATCCAGAACATTCTGAATGAAACTCACATTGCACAAACTTGCATCAACTTGATATTTTATCCAGTGGTTTCCTTATTATTCAAATGCAAGGCTGCTACAAGCAGGTGGTGACGGGGCAGAGCACTTCAGTCTCCAGGACACTGTTCAGGCAATGTTCTTGGCATATTTGTAGGAGAAAAAAATCCCTCCTGTGTCAATGTATTGTTTGTATTCATCATTCTTTTCACACTAATCTCAAATGCCTCAGTTAAAATATTAAAATGGGCAAAATTTGTGAATCTCGCATGTAAATTTGAGTAATGAATATAAGGGAGAAAGCTGGGACCAGGATCATGCTATTTTTAAATAAAAGCCCTAAGGGAAACTGTTTAAGGGAGACCTTGTGTTTGAATTTACCAAATGTCATTTGGTTTTGGTTTGAGATTTTAAAAAAAAGTAATGATTAACAAAAAGAAAAGCCCCAGTAAAGCTGGTGAATTTTTCACCAGTAATCTCAGGAACTTTGTGCAGTGGGACTTTACCCAAGCTTAGAAGAAATGCAGATCAGAGCCCTGGGCTGCCGGAACAGAGACTATTTATAGATAAATGTGAATATCTATTTATAGATGAGCATGAATGAGCACTTCACATGTTGCTTTATAACTTTTTACTTCCAGGAGCATCAGAGTTTATGTGAATATGCTTTGATCCCTTGTCACACTGGCTGTGGGCATGTGGTGATGAGGAGGAAGCTGGCAGATCACTTGGAAAATGGATGTGTCAATAATGTGACAGTGTGTCAGCAGTGCCAGTGCAGCCTGGCCACCTCTGAATGCCAGGTAAGAACATTTCTCTCTCAAATAAAGGCTTTTTATTGATGGTTTCAATGATCTGTGCTGCCATTTTCCCATCCTGATTTCGTTTCAGTCAGGGAATATTTAATTTTCCTGAGTTTGATCATTTTTCCACACAAGTGTTGGAGGGAAAAATGGATGTGATAATCTACTGGTGATGTGACAAAGTGCCCGTGTGCTCCCCTGGGTTTGGGCAGGTTTCAGATCCTGCCTCAAAATGAGTCCTGGTGTGAGGCTAGAGAAAATCAGACAAGCAGGGGAACCTGAGCCCTCTCTGCTCCTCCTCTGCTCAGCGCCTCCAGAGCTCTTCTCCTCCCACTCAGCCACCACCTAATTCATATTTTGGTTGGGAAACCTTGGTAACCGAGCAGGGGGCTGGCCTTGAGGTGTGGCTCCTTTAGTATGTGTAGAATTCTGGGGACGTGATCTGCTTTAATGAATTTGCACCTAGTTCAGAATTGTGATTATTTGTGGGTATTCCATGTGTCCACAACCCTCTGGGAGAAAATAGTAAATTTTGGGTGCTGCTCTTGCTCTCTTCATTTTATTCATTCAGTTTAAGGTTTTATGATTTTTTTGTATTTCTCTATTTTTAAATAAGCTTCTCTCCTCTGAAGGAGAGTTCCTCTCCCCCTCAAGAAACTTGTGATATAAAGGAGTAAAAGAGCAGAAATTAATAAGATCACTGGCAAGATAATGAATGTTAAAATATGGGTTAGAGAGTGAGAAAAACCCGTGGCTGCATTTCTGAGAATCGAAAGGGAAACCTCAGAACTGGTGTGCAGAGGAGCTTGTGCAGATTAAAGCCACCCCCTCTGCAGAGTGTGTAGGCAAAACTGGCAGTTGCTGTGTTAAATACAAATATTACAGAACCAGTGGCGAGGGGATCACTTCACCCTCCCTGGAGGCAGAAATGGCAGGAGGCCTGTGAGTGGTGATGCATTTTCTGTAGCACATCACGATGGAGAATTTGGATTCCAGCCTGCAAAGTGTTCAGAAACAGAATGCAAGAAGGGTCTGCATGTTGAGCAAAGGGTATGGACTCAGCACAAAGAAGAGTTTATATTTGAATTATATTTGAATTAGAATTTATATTGGAGTTTCCTGTGCTGTAACCTGTTTATGTTCATATATATATATATCTATCTGTATATATTTGAATTTCCTGTTCTGCTGGTCATTGCTGTTTTCCTGTTCTGTAACCCCCTGCTTGTCACTGCATGTATGAGAGTGCACATTTTTGTGTGTGTGCACATAACTCTGAACCTGGCAACGTTTTCATATTGCCAATCTTGTATCCAATATCCCAGGGTGACCTTTAATTCAATAATTAAATAAGGCACTGACTTTTTATTTCTTGTTTTAATGACAGGAGCACTCATGTGAAAGCAATTTATGCAAGGAACAAAAACCTGTGCAAACAGAAACAGCATCGAAGGAAAAGGTGGGTGAAAGATGAGGGAGTGCAATGCAGCTTTATTTCAATTAATAAAATTGTCACTTGTTCATTTAGATTAAACAAATCCCTGAGAACATCTTCAGATCCAGCAGTTGTTTCTGGCTGTTCTTTACATCCCAGCAAAGCCCGGCTGACTGCCTTCCCTCCCCTGCTCCCACAATTACCTTCACTAAATTATCTTCTCAATTAACCTTCCAAAATGAGCAAATATTTGTTTCCTCTCATACCTTGAGTGAGAGCCACCTGACCAGGAGTGTGCTGCACACATTTTCTTTGTGAGAAATTGTTGCCAGGTGATCCCTGTGCTCATTAAATTGTGTTCTGTCATTATGGGGTCTGGGAGATGGACACCTCACTGCCAGGCTGTGTGCAGGAACCTTGCTCTCAGCCACACTCTTAATTGATTTGCCATCAATTTTCAAAGCTGGTCGGGCACTGGAAGCTGTGGAATTACCTTGACTTGAATTAATCTGATTTATAGCTGCTGTGTTTGTGGTTTAGCTGTTTGTAGGGAAATAAAAGAATTCCCTTCAATTAGTTTTGATTATTTCCTCTACATATTTTTTTCAACAGAGCCACTCTACATCCTCATCCAGCAAGGATGGCTGTTGTTTTTCTGAAGTAGGCTGTGCATTTAGGGTGAGTGAAACAGGTCTCTTCAGGCAGGTTCCACCCTGGTTTGGACATTCCCTTCAGGGAAGTGTCTCTCAAAACAGAATCAGCACTTCTGATGCAGCAGGATGATGGAGCTGCACCTGCACCTTGCAGATTTTCCATGTCCCAGGGAGCTGAAGGTTGCTGGGTTTGTCCCCAGGGAGGCTGTGGTGGCCATGGAGGGGCAGTGACAGCGTTGTCTCTTCCAGGGAAGCAAAGAGAAGATCCAGGAGCACCAAAACTCCGCCGTGGGAGCCCACATGCTGCTCCTGCTGCAGCACATGAGGCAGCTGCAGGGAACCCTGTGCTCCAAGGGCTTCTCCCCACGGCCAGAGCTGAACCTGAGGAGTGCAGGAAAAAGCATCTGTGACCTGCAGATCCCAGCAGGGCTGGAGTTCAGCAGGGATCCAGAAATGGACTGTTTCTCTGTGCCTTCCTCTGTCCCTGAAGATGAGTCTGGCCTGCAGCAGCTCATGAGGGAGAAGGTGATTTCTGAGCTGGAAAATAAGCTGCACGTGTTTGAGAACATTGTGGCAGTGCTCAATAAGGAGGTGGAGAGCTCTAATTTGGAAATCCAGGCCTTCAGGAGGCAGAGTGAACTGGACCAGAATGTAATACGAGGCCTTGAACTGAAGGTAAAAATGACAGCAAGGATTGTCTGGGTGCTCGTTCTATAGCAAATAAATACTGACACACATCAGGGGAGCTGGGGTGGGGATCAGAACAGGAGTCTGAGCAGTGAAGGGCTCAGTTCTGGACACATATTCAGGATCTTTTTGTCATTTGATACATTTTCAAACGTACATCTTTAATATTTGTTCTCTAAGTCCACATTTAGGTAGTGAGATGCTGCTGAGAGTTTTGAGTGTTAGTCTGCCATGATCAGAGTGTGAGCAGGCAGAAGAACTGTTTAATTGCCTGATCCTCTCACAGCAGCATTTTGCCTGGAGGCCCAAACAACATCTCTGTGTGTGTTTTGACATATTGCTGTCACTTAGAAAAGAATCAAAGCAGAGCTTCCAGAACATGAGGACTCCAGAAGGATGCAGCCACCCCTGCAGCACAGCCTGGAGCAGGGGGTGACTGAGGACTGTTTTTTTCTCCCAGATTGCAGAGCTGCACCGGTGCCTGACGCAGAAGGACGCAGGCCTGAGCAGCCTGCACAAGAGCCTGCTGTTCTCTGAGCAAGCCTCCTACGATGGGATCTTCCTCTGGAAAATCACAGAGGTTGCCAGGAAGCTCCAGGACTCTGTGACTGGCAGGACAGTCAGTTTGTACTCCCCAGGTAAAGCACAGGATGGAGATGTGTGTTCACAAACCCCAACCCTTCTGAATCTCCCCCATTTCTCCAGAACTCTGCTTCTTTCTGCTCGTGCCAGCAGGAGCATCTTTAAAAGAGCTCCTCAAGCCAAGATGCTGTTTGTGCAGAGATCTGTAATCCAGGGCACTGGGATGTGCTTTTCCAGAGGGCTGTGCCCTAGTTTGGGCTCTCATGCTGCCCTTTGCCCTCCAGCACAGCTGCCTGCAGTGGATCCATCCCTCCCAGCCCTCAGCTCGGTGCCTGCTGGCACCACGTGGCTCCAGCTCTTTCCCATGTGGGAAGTAACTGGATTAGCTAAATTACACTTGTGTGGCTAATAACAGGTAATTTTCACCAAGATTTGAGGCACTAAAAGGATCCCAACCACTGGGTTTTCATTGCTTGTAATCTCCAGGGGATGCTGATTTGTCTGTTCTCCTTTCTGTGAGAGCAAACCAAGTCACACATTACCTTTTCCCATATGCCAAAACACACATTATGCATCTTTTTTCCCCAAAAACCCCTGCTTTATTAATGAAGAGTTCTGATTTTCAGCTTTCTACACTGCAAAATATGGCTACAAGGTGTGTCTGAGGGTGTACCTGAACGGGGATGGGACAGGGAAGGGAACCCACATGTCCCTGTTCTTCGTTGTCATGAAAGGAGATTACGACGCTTTGCTCCCGTGGCCTTTCAGGCACAAGGTAAGGAGAGAAACCTTCCCACATCTGATCCCAGCCAAAAGTCAGCACAAGGTGACTCCTTTTGTGGAGTTTTGTGGAAGCTGAGTGCTTTTCCACATGCCTTTCCAAAGGTGAGCAGCTGCCCTGCAGTCCTGGGTAATGATTTGTGTCTGACTGGAGTCCCTTGCAGGGAAAGCTGCTCTTGCTGATATTCCAGACTTTGCCAGGCAGGATTTTCACCACCAGAACGTGGTGTTTGGAATATTCCAACCCGTGTCCACGTGGGCTAAAGCCAGACACGTCTCCTGGCTCTTGCTAAACACAGGTAGTATCAGTTTAGGAGAGAATTATGATTTGCTGCCTGAAGGCATCAGAGGGGTGAGGTGAGAGTTCCACTTACAGAGGTGCCACGGATGTCTGATGTGATCCTGATCTGATTTTTTCCCCTTAGTGTGATCTGATAATGGCAACAATGGTTAGGAAAGCAGTGAAACCATGGCAGGACCTGACCTCTGCTCTTGCACTTGCCTTTGTGGGGTAATAATTCTGTAAAGCTTTCCTATAAATAGTTTTACGGCCAGTTAGTAGCCAAAAAAATAGAAATCAAAGTTCCCAATCAAAAGATTATTGCAGATATTTCCCATTTCAAGCTATGCAACAGTGAGTTAATAAAAGGGGCAATGAGGTGGGAAGATTCTACTGATATTTAGGTTTTGTCTTTTACATATTTGTGCATGGGCAACCAAGTTGTTTCTTCTAATTCCAAAGCACAATCACAGAATAAATTTAATGATTGTAACCAAACCCAGGGGCTGTTTTTGTTGTCAGGGGAGAGAGACTTTGGACTTTGCAGTTCTCTACCAGAGAATAATTCCTTACTTGATTTAATTTAATTTCATTTTATGGGTAGCAAAGTTTTAAAAACTTCATCTGGGAGTTCACATGAGCTGACCTTGCAGGTTGGAAATGTTTGTTACAGTTTTTATTTAATAACCAACAGAGCATCCAGCTGCTTTTGCAGCACTCCTGCCCCTGCTTGGTTTGTTTTCCACGCCAGTAACTCCTCACTGCCACATTCTGTTTTTCAGGTGACGTTTATGTTGCTCGACCAAAATAACAGGGAGCACATCATTGATGCCTTTCGCCCAGACCTGACTTCTGCTTCCTTCCAGAGGCCAGTGAACGACATGAACGTGGCCAGTGGCTGCCCCATGTTCCTGCCCTTGGCCAAGCTGCAGTCCCCCAAGCACGGCTACGTGAGAGAGGACACGCTTTTCCTGAAATGCATCATAGAAACAAACTAGCAAATCCTCAGGTGGGCTTGGCTGGGGAGCTCACCTCTGAATGCTAACAGATGATGAGGAAAAACCCCTCGGTTTGCAAGCTTGTGTTAGTTTGTGTGCACACAAAATCCCCAGAGCCTGCAGCCCTGAGCCACTGCCATCCCCTGGAGGCGCCCAGAGCAGCTCCTGTCCCCAAACCCTGGGCTCAGCTCCTGTCCCCAAACTCTGGGCTCAGCTCCTGTCCCCAAACCCTGGGCCCAGCTCCTGTCCCTGAACCCTGGGCCCAGCTCCTGTCCCTGAACCCTGGGCTCAGCTCCTGTCCCCAAACTCTGGGCTCAGCTCCTGTCCCTGAGCCCTGGGCCCAGCTCCTGTCCCTGAACCCTGGGCTCAGCTCCTGTCCCCAAACTCTGGGCTCAGCTCCTGTCCCCAAACCCTGGGCTCAGCTCCTGTCCCCAAACCCTGGGCTCAGCTCCTGTCCCCAAACTCTGGGCTCAACTCCTGTGGGGCCTGGCAGCCCTGGGGGGGATTTTGGCTGCCCCCCAGCAAGAACAGGGCAGATTCCTTCCCCCAAAGCCCAGGTCAGGTGTCTCTGTGCCTGCCAGGACCTTGGAAGCCGGGAGCTGTGGCTGGGAGCTGTGGCCCTGCTGGTGGCTGCAGCCTCACCCCGGGGATTTATTTCTTGCTATTTATTCCAAATTCCAAACCTGTTTCTGTAAGGGGATGCTGTGGTGCATCAGCAGGCAGGGAGCAGGTTCCACTGTGCTTGGGGGAATTGCCTCTGGGATTTCCACAGGAGCCTTTGGCTTTCCCATTGTGGATACAGAGCTCTGCCCCAGGCAGGGTAAGGCCCCTCCATGGTCTGGTTTAGTGTCCAGTCACTTCCTGGACCTTCAAGGCAGGTGACTTATTAGAAATTATTGATTTTTTTTTTTTTGGCTTAATGTGCTCTGATGTTCGAGTATTTTTGCATGCTAAAATGCAAGTAAATGCTAGAAATTATTTTATTTTTCGGAGGTTTTCTAATAGAGGGAAGGAATGAATAATCTTTTTTATAAGCAAGACAAGCTTGGGATTGTCTGGATGTGTGCAAAATCTCTCACTTCTGTCTTGGCAACAGCCTTTAAAATAATTAGTTGTGATAAAGTATCACAATTCAAAAACACCCACCCCATAAACAAATATTTATCAAAGTTTGTCTGGGAAGGAACTGGATATTCTGTGTATTTTCCTCTATTCCATCTTTCAAATGTTCTTTCAGGGACAGAATACTGGAGTAATTTATCTAAATTGTGCTTTCCCTGTCTGTATCACTTTGACACATGCTGTATTTATTACAATCATTTATATTTTCTTATGATTTAATTTATTTCCTAAATAAAGCTCACTAACTTAAAGGATTGGTGTTATTTTGCTATCAAATCGGGAATTGAGCAGCTTGGGTATGTTATAGGAACAGCTGAGCTGTGCTACACTTTCCTTCCTTGCTTTTTCCTTTCCTTCTTTCTGGGGAAAGGAAGGTCCTTTTGGGGCAGAAATGCCCAGAACATCTCTGTCCACTTCCCTGGCTGGGAGAGCACTTCCAGGCTCTTCAACAGAGCCCACAGAGAGAGCTCGGTTAAAAAAAAAAAAATAGAAAAACCAGATAGGGATCAAATCCACGCTGAATAAACAACAGACACCAAACCGCTGCCCGGCGCTCCTCCTTTCGAGGGCACAGCTGGCACAAAGCGGCCAAATCTCAGCCGGATCTGCTCTGGGGAGTGCGGGCACCCCCGGCCCAGGGCTCTGCTCCCAGGGCACTCCCAGCCGGGCAATGCCCGGTCCGCTCCAGGCACTGCCAGCCCCGCTCGGTTTTCATCTCCCAGACCTTCGATAAGGGAGTGGCTGCCACTGAAATGAGCTGGAATTGATGTCGAGAGTTCCCTGATCCAGCAATTCATTTCTGTGTGATTTTGTCTGGATGTAGAAAAATCGCGGAGAATTTGAGGGAGTTACATCAGCAGCATTTGGTCCGTGTTTAATGGCCAGGTTGGCAAAGAGCCAATGCTCCTACAGCTAAGGGGGTCTGAAACAGCCAAAGACAAGCTTTGGAGAGAATTAATTTTTTTCTTAATGGACTAATAAAGCTGAAAAAAAAAAAGAGGCAAATTTTTGTCTTATAAACCTTTGTTTGGGACAGAGGAAGAGCTCAAACCTTGCACACGCTGGCTTGAGCTGGTTGTGTTGGTCAGTGGAGAGGTGGTCGGGTTGAGACCTTCGGAGCAGAGGGAACAGAGGGGGAATGAGCAATTGGTGGGAGGCACTTCTTTTGTCAGGGATGTGTCCCCCGGAACCGGCTGTTCCTGCGGCTGGAAGTGGCACCCGGGCCGAGGGGGGCCCCGGGGCCGGCGGGAGCCGCTCTTGGCGATCCCATCTCCGCGCCGGGCCCGGGAGAGCCTCCCGGGAGCGCCGTGTTTGGGTTTCCATTCAATATTCCTCGGCTCCGGTCTCCAAGGCTACACGCCAACATCCAACCCCTCCTCCCACGCCTGTTTTCAAAGAAAGAAAAACACTGTGAAAAGAGGCGGCAGCGATTTCTGGGCAGTTTTCAAAGCAGAGGCAGCGCTGGGAGCTGCTCTCCCCGCGCACTCCGCGGGCTCTGCTCCAGCCCGGGCCGTGGTTCCCGGCTGCTCCATCCTTTTCCAACAGGCAAAGCACCTCCCCCTCGGCAAGTGCAGGGTGTGGGGAACAAGTAAAAGTTTTTAGGAAAAACTGGGAGTTTGGAGTAGTTATCTACACGGGGCTTCATTCAAATCCTTCTGCAAAAACGGGTTTTTTTTGGAAATTCATAGCGGGGAGGGAGCTGGGAGTCTTGTGCTGGCCCCGCTCCCTGGCCGAGGAGGGTGTGGATTGCTGCCCTCAGCTTTACGCCACTTTTGGGGCTCTCGTTCATTTCTGTTCCCTTGCTTACAGAATAATCTGCTTTTTCCGGCCGGGTACTCCTGCCCTGCCCCAGCACAGACATCGGGGCAGCCTGGGGTGCCAAAGCAGTGCCCAGGTGCTGTCCCAGCCCCAGCACCTGCCAGGGACCCCGATCCCACAGTGCCAAAGAAATGGGATATCCAAGGGATAGCTAGGCGGGTGTGCAGAGGAGGAAGAGGAGGATGAAGAGAAGGAAAAAGAGGAGAAAGGAAGATGACGAGGGGGAAGAGAAAGACAGCACCCAGTAGCTCACTGCAGTGAGATCTGAGGCCAGGCTTGCTGGGTGCTGTGACAGAAGCACCTGCAAAGAAAGCAGAGTTAAATCTGGTTTATGTTGCTATAATTATGTTGTTTCATTCCGGTTAGAAAATACAGGATACATCTGAAATTCTGGGGTTTGTTTGTTTGTTTGGGTTTTTGTTTTTGGTTGTTTTTTTTCATTTTTGTTGCACACTTGTGTCCCAAGGCGATGTTCCCGCGCTCTCTCTCCGTGTGGAAGCCTTTCAGTCAGGCTCTCCCTGCGTACAGCCCCGGTGAACTCGATCCAGCCTTTGATTTCCGTGTCACACCATCCGCATTCCTGCGGCACCAGCCGCGGGGGCCGGGAGGAGGGTGGCGCTCCCCGGTGCCCCCGGGACAGGCTGCGACAGGAGCGCTGTCCCGGGATGGAGCAGTCTCGGGGATTTCGGGCACACGAGCAGCCCCGAGGCACGGAGCGAGGCGCGGGGCTCCTCCGAGGGTTGTGGGCAGAGTTATTTTAGTCCTGAGCTGACTCACGCTTATCCCGGAGTGACTCACGGGGAGCTGGGGCCCGGGGCTGGTTAGGGGCACGGCACGGCACGGCACACTTGGCACGCTTGGGATGCTTGGCACGCTTGGCACACTTGGCACGCCTGGCACACACAGCTTTCCCCACTCAGCCCCGCACAGGGAGCAGCAGCAGAGCGGCCGTGCCGGACCCGCGGCTCAGGAAATCGCTTTTCCCGTCCCTCCGCAGGTGCAGCATCTCGGGGAGCACTCTGACACCCGTGTTTTGTGGGAATTTGGGTAAAGAAATGATTCCCGAGTGCCGGGTGCTGGAAGGGGGGCTCGGCCCGTGCCGTGCCGCTCACCGCTGCCCCGGGAGCTGCCGGCTCGCAGCTCCGGCTTTGGGACACGTCTGAGCCCCAGCCCCCAGTGCCGCATCCATCACGGACGGGAAGAGCCGCAGGGACTCTCTCTGCCCGCGCTTGGCCCAGACCCGGCGCTGGGAATCAGCTCTGCTATGGCCCGAGCAGCCTGGAAAACATTGCTTTTCCAGGATCGCTTCCCAACAAACAGCGAATCCTACAGATTTCTTCTTGGCACCGACCGAAGCATTTTTCCAGCGGTTGATTTGCTCTGTGAGATTCAGAGAAAGGCTGAAAGGCTGCTCCCGCTTCCAGGAATCCCGGCGAGCACAGGTCGTTCCCTCCCGGGACAATGCTCCGCACCCCATCCCCTGCCCGCCCGCCACCCCGGGCACCGGGGGAAGCTCTTTCCTGGCCGCAGCCACGGCTCGGAGGGGACAGGCAGGGAGGTCCCGCGTGTGGCAGAGGGTGACGGTGCCTCTCCACGGGCACTGGGTGCGTGGCCGACCCTGCGTGCCCTGTCCTGGCCCCGGGGGTGCCGCCTGCGCTCTCCGGAGCACCGGGCCGGCCCGAGCAGGGATGTGCCGAGCCGGGACGCGCCCCGCTCGGTTCCTATCGATGCCAATCCACGCCGGTCGGTCGGTGCCGGTCCGGTCCGGTTCGATCCGCGCCGTGCCGCTCGGTCTCTCGGTGCCGTGCGGTGCCGGTGGGTGCCGCGGGGATGCGCTGCGCTGCGGTGGGACCGGAGCCGTGGGAGGCGGCGGGGGCGGCCCCGCTAATTGCATAACCGGGACGTCAATGCCGGCGGGAGCGCGGGGGAAGCGCGGGAAGATGGCGCCCCGCGGGCGGCCCCCGCCGCGCCCCGCGCCTCCCGGGCCCCGCGCCCGCTGAGCGCTCCGGTAAGGGCGGGCCGGCCCCGGCGGCACCGGGCGGGACGGGCGGGACGGGCGGGCGGACGGAGCCGCGGAGCCTTTGAATGAGCCAATGGCGGCGGGGCCGTGGAGCCGCTCGGGGCTGCCCGCGGCCACCCCCGGCAGGTGCCACCGGGGCTCGCTCGGGGCTGCCCGCGGCCACCCCCGGCAGGTGCCACCGGGGCTCGGCACCGGGCTGCCCGCGGCCACCCCCGGCAGGGGGAATATCCCCTTCCGCGGGGCCGGGGGGGAGAGCGGCGGGAGCCCCGGGGCTGCGGGACCCCGGGAAGGGAGCGGCGGGGCAGCGGAGGGAAGCGCGGGGGGCTGCGGGAGCCCCGGGGCCGCGGAGCGGAGCTGCCGCCGCGCTCGGAGCGCTCCCACGCGGGAACCGGCGGGTGCCGCTGCCGGGACGTGTGGCGGATGGCGAGCGCCGGGCTCCGCCGGGAGCGGGATCGCTCTGCCCATCCCGGGGCTCTCCTCGTGGATGGCAGAGCCGGGCAGAGGGGGCTCCACGCCGGACACGCGTGGTGCCATGAGGCCGCGTGTGTGGCCGTGACGGGAGCGCCAAGGGGAGAAAAATCCCTTTCGAGTCGTTTCCGCGGTGTCCTTCGGGATCGCAGCTCTGCTGTGGGGGATTTCTTTGCCTCCTGCACCCCAAACCTCGTGGCGGTGACATTTGGCCGCCTGGGTTCGCTCGCGGTGGGTGGTGCTGGCACATCCCTGCTCCTGCAACAGTCCTGGTGCTTTGGGAGCCGCAAAACTGCGGGAAATGGTGGTTTTAAAATCACAGTAAATTTAAAGCTTTTATTCCTTATGTGCCCCTTCCCAAAACTGAACCATGTGGACCCGTGGCGTGTCGGGAGCCTGTCGGGGGTTAATTCCCTCTTGTTCGCCAGTAGCAAAGATTTTGGCCGCTCCCTGGATTTCGTGGAAAGGAACCGTCTCATCGGCTCTGTTTTGCAGTGTCCCTGCTGGTGGGGCAGCCTCAGTCCTCCCAGGCGAATCGCTCAGGGATGCTGCTGCGGGCTGATCGGTGCCGTGCCGAGCGGTGACAGCGCTGTGTCCCCTGCAGGCTCTGCTGATGGACCCCACGGAGCTGGAGCCGCTGGCCCGGGACGTGTACGGCCGCGTCCAGCCGGCAGCGGGCTCGGCGCGGCGGGGCGGCGGCTGCCGGGAGCTGATGGTGCGCCTGACCGAGGGGCAGTACGTGCTGTGCCGCTGGACAGACGGGCTCTACTACCTCGGCAAGATCAAGAGGGTAACGTGGGCACCCCCGGGGCAACGGGAGAACCCAAGAGGTGCCAGTGCCAGCGGAGCCGGTGCCGTTCCCCGGCTCAGTGCGTGGCTCAGGGGTGCTGGCCTTGGTCAGCAGGGCATTTTGGGTTGGCATCCTGCCCCCGGTGTCACGCCCCAAACCTGACTGCCCTCAGCCCCGAGAGGCAGCATCAGGCACCAAGGAAAAGAGGGAAGCGCTGGGAATGGGAGCCGACCCACAGCGGTTCTTCCTGCTCTCTTCTGGCAGGTGAGTGGCTCCAAGCAGAGCTGCCTCGTCACGTTTGAGGATAACTCCAAGTACTGGGTCCTCTGGAAGGACATCCAGCATGGTGAGTGTTGCCCCAGGCTCCTTTCCCGCTGCCATGCCGTGGGACCCTTCCCAGCAGCATGGGGATGTGGCCGTGCCACCTCTGCCACCCTGGTCCCACAGCCGGCGTCCCGGGGGAGGAGCCCAAGTGCAGCATCTGCCTGGGGAAGAAGTCGGGCCCCAGGAACGAAATCCTCATCTGCGGGAAGTGCGGGCTGGGTGAGTGCGGCTGTCCCACCCCGGGCGCTGCCGTGCCCACCCGGGGCGAGGCCGGGCTGATGCCGAACCCTCCCGCAGGGTACCACCAGCAGTGCCACATCCCGGTGGCGAGCGGCGGCGAGGGCCCGCTGGGGACGCCGTGGTTCTGCCGCCGCTGCATTTTCGCCCTGGCGGTGCGGGTGAGTGGGGCTGTCCCGCGCCCCCCGCCCCGAGCGCTGCCCGTGCCCGCACGGTGGGGCAGGATGGGCTCCCCGGGGGGCTGTGCTGACCCCGGCCCGGCTCTCCCGCAGAAAGGGGGTGCCCTGAAGAAAGGAGCCATTGCCAGGACGCTGCAGGCCGTGAAGATGGTGCTGTCCTACAACCCCGAGCTGCTGGAGTGGGACTCCCCGCACCGCACCAACCAGCAGCAGTGCTACTGCTACTGCGGCGGCCCCGGGGAGTAAGGGCGGCCGGTGCCACCCTTGGCTTTGTGGGGAAAGGGAGGGGGCATCGGGGTGGGCATGTTTGGGCCCTGGGGCCAGTTCTGCTCGCCACGCCGCCTCTGCCATCTGAAACACCCGTTGGGGACGCACTTTCTGTCCCTGCCCGGGGCTCTGTGGCTGGGAGGGGAGCGGGGCGGTGGCTGCCACACGCTGTCCTCACTGTCACCGTTCTGTCCCCGCCCAGGTGGTACCTGAAGATGCTGCAGTGCTACCGCTGCCGGCAGTGGTTCCACGAAGCCTGCACGCAGTGCCTCAGTGACCCCATGATGTTCGGAGACCGGTACGGCCCTTCTGGCCCTGGCTGAGGGGTCCCGGGGGCACCCAGGGGCACATCCCGCCCTGTGTCCCTGATCCCTCTGTCACCAGCATGGATCAGCTGGCCCTGCCCCACACAGCCCATCCTCCTGGCCTTGCTGCCACCGTTGGCACTGTCCCACCTGGGCCCTGCACAGCGGCGTGTGATCCTCACTCCCAGCATTTCCCCTGATGTTTTCCAGGTTCTATGTGTTTTTCTGCTCTGTGTGCAACCAGGGACCGGAATACATCAAGCGCCTGCCCCTGAGATGGTGAGAAACGGGCCCTGCCTCCTTTGGGCTGTGCCTGGGTGGCTCTGGGGTGTGCCACCAGGCTGGCTGCTCCCTGCAAGTGCTCAGGACCAGGCTGGACAGGCCTTGGAGCAACCTGGTCTAGTGGGAGGTGTCCCTGCCCGTGGCAGAGGACAGGACTGGACTATTTTTAAGCCCCCTTCCAACACAAAGCATTCTAGGATTGTGTGTTTGGGTTTTCCCCCAGCTGCAGGCAGTGTGCCACCTCTCCCCAAAGCTGAAGGGATGCTGTCCTGCCTGTGGCATCTGCTCGGATACAGCTCTGGGCTGGGCTGTGAAGAGTGGGAAGGTTCCAGTGGTGGGCTTGGGAGGACCTGGGAGCTGTAGTGGCACTGGCAGAACAGGGCATGGTGGTGGCACCATCCTGCCAGGGCTGCTGACCCTGTGCCCCTCTTTGCTGCAGGGTGGACATCGTCCATCTTGCCCTCTACAACCTGGGTGTGCAGAGCAAGAAGAAATACTTTGACTTTGAGGAGATCTTGGCCTTCGTGAACCACCACTGGGACCCTCTGCAGCTCGGGAAGGTACAAACACCCCTGGGCTTGGGCTGGAGAGCAGCCATGGGGGTGAGAAATGTCACCCCAGCTCTTGCAGCGCTCAGCACGGCACCTCCTGCTCCAGAGGGCTCAATCCCCTTCCTCTGCGCTGGGATTTTCCTCGTTGGAGTGTCAGACCCGGCACCTTTCCCGGCGGGAGTAGGGCTGGGAACCCATCCCGGGTGGGACGGGGTGGCCCCGGGGGTGGCACTGCCACAGCCGGGGGGCTCCGGCCGGGCCTTGGCTCCCTCCCTGCCTCCCTCCCTCCCACCCGGGCGGCTCCGGCCGGGCCTTGGCTCCCTCCCTGCCTCCCTCCCTCCCTCCCCGGCCGCGGGCAGGAGGCGCAAGCCGGAGTTCGGGTTCCCCCGTCTGTTTGGATTCTGCATAACTGCAGCGGGCACTGAGCCCTGCGTGCCCCCCGACCTGTCCCGCAGCTCACGGGCACCCCGATCTCCGAGCGCGGCCCCCACCTCCTCAACGCCCTCAACAGCTACAAGAGCAGGTGAGGCGGGGCGGGATGGGCACAGGCTGGCACGCAGGATGCTCCGTGCCCGCCTGGCTCAGGCTGCTCCCCCCTGTGCCGCCCAGGTTTCTGTGCGGGAAGGAGATCAAAAAGAAGAAATGCATCTTCCGCCTGCGGATCCGCGTCCCCCCGAACCCCCCCAGCAAAGTGCTGCCGGAGAAAGGCCCCGGCGAGGCCGAGAGCGGCTCCTGGGAGCTGAAGAAGAAGGGGAAGAGCAAATCCGCCGCCAAGGACGGGTGAGTGCCCCGCTGGCCCTGCCAGCCCCGCAGCAGCAGCAGCAGCAGCAGCGCTGCCCGCACCCCTCACGCCTGTTTGCAGCCTCCTGCAGCAGCAGAAGCGGCGAGCGCGGCGCAGGAGGGCCAAGTTCCTGCTGGAGGATGCCATTCCCAGCGTGAGTCCTTCGCCCCCTCCTCTCTGCAGCCAGGGCAGGGACAGCTCCTGTCCCTCGCTTTGGGAAGTGTCGCTTGCCCGGGTCACCCCCCGGGCAGAGGGTGCCAGGGTTGGGGTGTGGGCAGCACCCCCGTGCCAGGCAGTGAGGAGTGAGCTTGGTTTTGTGACAGAGTGACTTCACCTCGGCCTGGAGCACCAACCACCACCTGGCCAGCATCTTCGACTTCACGCTGGATGAGATCCAGAGCCTGAAAAGGTTCGTGCAGCCAGACCTGTGGGGGCCAGGGGTGCTGCTTGTGCTGCATGCCAGCTGTGCCATCCCTATCCACAGTGCCAGCTCAGGACAGACTTTCCTGTCAGACTTGGACTCCACAGATGCCACCAGCACCTCAGGCTCAGCCACCACGAGCCTCTCCCACGAGTCCAGGTGAGGACTGTGCCCCTTGCCCCCTTCTGGAGGGGTCCTGGTGGCATGGCCAGGGGGCGAGGGCTTGTGTCTCCCCTTTTCATGTCCCACCCCGGGGAGCTTTTCCCGCCTGTGTCCCAAAACGGGCTGGGGGTCCCAGAGTGGCACTTGCTGGGGGCGTAGGATCAGAGCCATCAGTTCTTGCTGGGCTCCCCCAAATTCCTGCCTCCCTCCAGAAGCCAGCACGGGGAGGAACCTTTTGGGTGCCGCCCTCACTCGTGCCCTGTGCCCTCCCCGGCAGCCGCAGGACCGTGGGCAGCCGCAAGCGCAAGTTGGCAGTGCCAGCCTACACCTCGGGGGCCAAGCGGAGAGGGGCTGAGCTGGGCGGGTGCCCCTCCGCGACCACCCCCGAGGGCAGCCCCGACGGCGGCATCGACAGCCACACCTTCGAGAGCATCAGCGAGGACGACTCCTCGCTGTCCCACCTCAAGTCGTCCATCAGCAGCTACTTCGGGGCCGCGGGCCGGCTGGTGTGCGGGGAGAGGTACCAGGTGCTGGCGCGGCGGGTGACGCTGGAGGGGAAGGTGCAGTACCTGGTGGAGTGGGAAGGCACGACCCCCTACTGACCCCCGCCACCCCCAAACCTCCGGAGATCGGGCTGCTGGGGAAGCCCGAGAGGCACAGAGAGGTGCTGCTCCCTCCCCACGGCCATCTCGGTGGGTGGAGGCAGTGCCCAGGAATGAAACCCTGGAGCCCTGACACTCTGGGTTTTTTTTTTTTTTAATGTTAACGATTTTTAGTTCCTTGGCTGCATTTATGCAGAGCGTGGCCCAGCCGTGCCCTCCTGGTGGAGCCTGGTGCTGCTCAGAGCAGTGTGGGGGTCTGGCCTTTCCAAAAGGGTCCCCATGGCACAGCTGGAACAGCTGCTTGGGGGGCACCCCACAGCCTGCTCACACCGAGGGACCCCGGCCTGTGCCTGTCCCAGCCTGACTGAGCAGCCTCCAGGGGGTCCTGCTGCCAAAACACAAACCCCTCCTGGTCCCTGGGCTCTCACAGCTCGGCCCTGTGCCCATGGGAAACCGGGACAGCTCTTGGGGTTTTTCACCTCATCCAGAATCCATTCATTAGAGGAATGTGGTTTGTTTTGTTTTATGTGAGAGGAAAATGCCCCAAAATCAGCCCACATGGGGCAGATGTGCTCTCACCCCACGACCTGGACTGTGTGTGATGCTGCACCAGCTCCATTTCACTGTTCTGACAATCATGATCTTGGAAGAGATCTTCCAAAAAATCCTCCTTTGCCTTAAAACCACCGTGGGCACTTCACAGACGGGAGCCCGAGGCCTTTGTTTCTACAGGAATCTTCATCCCAAATGTGCCAAACCAGCAAACAAACCAAAAAAAGGCTGAAGAGGACAGCAGGGGCAGGGGCTGTACTGGGGTGCCTGTGGCCATCCCTGGGCCATCCCTGGGCCATCCCTGGGCCATCCCTGGGCTGTCCCTGTGGCCTCCTGGCTGTGCCTCTCTTGCAGTGGTGATGTTTATGAGCACTGGGCTTGATTTGTCTGCAGGAGAGGAGCAGCCCCCTCCTTTAACAAAGCAATACTGCCAGCTTGGGCAGGAGCAGAGCAGTTGGCTTTTAAAAAAAGATTAAATATGTTAGATTTTTATCCTTTAGAGAGACAGAGAGATATTTTTAAAGTCCTCCTCATCTCTCCCCCATCCCACCGTGGCTGTCCCATGGGTGGGCCACGCTGGGCTGTGGGATCCTGTCCATCAGCAGAGCCTGTCCTGTGCTTGTGGGATCTCAGCTCATCCAGAGCAGAATGCCCCTGTCCTTTTGGGACAGGTGCTGCCAGGCTCCCCTTCCCTGGCAGGGAGAACTGCCTGTCCTGCCTTAGCTTTGTCCTTGAAGGATCACTTCAAATATTTCCCTTTCTTAGTGCCTATGGAGCTCTTCCAAGGGGCTGCCAAGAGCTGTGCCAGGGCTGAGCAGGGTTATGCCCGTGGGGTGTGCCAGTGGGAGCACCCACAGTATCTGCCTCTGGCTCCTCTCTGCTCCCTCTCTGTTCCCTCTCCTCCTCTCCTGGCTTCTTGCAGAGAATTGAATGTGGAGCCTTTAAAAGTATTTTTGCTGCAGAGTATATTTTGCATTCGCTGTAATAGAGATTATAACAACTCTGTGCACCTTCTGATTTCTGAGTCCAGGTTGCTGCTTGTAAGCACCTCTCGTTATACCCAAGTTGTAATTAATATGTCTGATGTACAATTAAAAAGCAGGGTTTTTTTCAAAGTCTGTTTTTTTGTAGCGTGAGGATTATTGGGTTGGGGTGCCCAGTGCCCACCACGGGGGGGTTGTGCTCTGTGCCAGGTGAGGTGTGCAAGCCCAGGACAGGCCTGTCCTCCTGCCCAGCTGCATCACAAGAGCCTGCCCAGGTAAGCAACTACTGTTTATTCCCTTCCCAGTCACATAAATAACCCGAAAACATTCCCTGAATGATGTCCCAGAAACCATTAACACGAGGATCTTTTTACAAAGCTCAGCTCGGCTCAGGCACAAAGCCACATCTGGGGTGGGGGTAGGTGACAGGGCAGTGCCGTGGTCCTGCTGGAGCCGTGGCTCCTGCCCAGCCCATCCCAGCTCTCCGTGGCAGGGGGATTTAAATCCTTGCAGTGTTATTGAGGGCTCTGCTGCTTGCCGGGGCTCTGCGGGGCTCCAGCAGAGCAGGCGGGGGTGGCACGGCCGGGTGCCCGGGCACATCCCGACTGTCCTGACAGGGACATCTCCGCCCGTCCTCATCCACAGTTCGGTGCTGGCGGCCCTCCCCAGCTCAGCCCGAGGAGAGGAGGGTCCCCACCCCAAACTCCGGGCTCCCAGCACACCCCAGAGGGTCCCGGCTCCCCAAAAACGAGCAGCACTCAGTCCCGTGGGACGTTCTCCTCTATCCATTTGAGGTAGACAGGGTTCCCTTGCTCAATGGGCAGGCTGATGATTTCGGGCATCTCAAAGGGATGGATGGATCTAAAGTGGAAACAGGAGGACAGAGTCAGCGCAGCCCCGAGGAAGCCGCGCTCCAGCCCTGCCCCGCGCCCCCCGCCTTCAAAGCACCCGCAGCTCCTTCCTGGGAACGTTCCTTTGAGTTTGGGGTTTACCGCAGACTGCCGGGGGCCTGGCCCAAGCTGAGAGTGCTCCCCCCGGGAGCTGCAGGAAATCCTGTCAGGGAATAACAACCTGCCTGAGGAGGAGAATCCCCCTTCCAATCCAGCACGGAGGGCTGTTGATATTTCTGCCACCTTTTCCTTTTTGTTGATGCTATCCCTGGGTTTTTCTGGCTTGTAAGATCCAGCAGGAGCACTTAACCCCCCTGGGTGGGACAGGGCTCAAGGAAGCCCCAAAGCTGGAGCAGGAGGGGACAGCCTACCTTGGATGGGACACCCAGTGCTCCTGTGGAGCCAGAGCCTCACCTGACGTAGTTGGACAATTCCCCTATTTTGGACGTCCTTGTTTTCACCAGCTGTGGAGAGTAAAAAACCAAACCAAAGCCCAAGGGAGATGTGAAGGGATGGAGGGATGTGGATGTGCAGCTCCAGTGTCCCCTCCCAGCACGGCCAGGGGTGTGACAGGAGCCCCTCCCCGGGGGACGCTCCCAAACCCAGCAGGTTGGTGCCACCCTCCCCAAACCTCCCTGCAGCCCCTTTCAGCTGGGGCCGTTTGCAACAGGGATATTTGTGATGGAGGGAACGATCACTTACCAGCAGTATTTCAGTGGATTCTTCCAGTTCCCCTTTCCAGAAATACCTGGATTTAAAAGAAAAGCTGCATCAGCAAATCCAGCTCTGCTGCAGCCATCGCAGCCCTCGGGTTACTTTCCCTGCTCGCTGCTTTTTGCACGTGGCCATTTCTTTACAAAGAAACATTGCTGGCCCCAAAACTGCTGAGCACATCAATGAGCACCCCAGCCTTATGGACAAGAGCCTCCAGAGAATTTAGCACGGCAGAATTTATCAGGCAGGGCAGATTTGCTGGGGCTGGGGTGTCCTGTGCTGGTGGCTCTGAGCAGTGGCTGAGGGACAGTTCCTGCAGGGATGGTGGTCGGGAGGCTGAGCTTTCTCCCTCCCTTTCCCTGCAGGAGAGGAGCTGCACCTCTCATGAGTCAGATGTGACCTTTCTAAACATTTCTGCTGCCAGGAGCTGTCCTGATCTCATCTGCCTGCAGGGATCCTGCGGGGAGGGCTGGAGGGTCTGGGGGCAGGGCACGGAGCAGAACCCAGCCCTGCCCCGGCTCTTTGGGTTTGTAGGAAATGATGGATAAGGGGAAGAAGGGTTTGCCCTCAGGTGGGATATGGGGGTGCACTGTGGGATCCCCTCCCGAGGGAAGCTGTGGTGGGATCTGCTCCTTGCTTCTGCCAGGGTGTTTCTGTGAGGAAAAGCTGTTTTGGGGCTTTGCTCTTGAGCCCCTCCAACAAGTGCAGTCCCTTTGCATGGACAGCTGAGGACACCTGCAGAGCAGGGCTGGGCCTGTTCCAAGGTCAAACCTGCTGTTCTTCCTGCCTGAAAAAGCTGCTTCATTCTGCAAAGGCCTTTCCTGGTCCCTATTTTGGCTGCTTTTTAGAGCAGGCACCACGTCCTCAGGAGCACAAACCCTAAATTGCTGGATGTCTGTGCAGCCAAGTGACCAAAAAATGAATGAGCCCCACGGGCAGTGGGAGCATCTGCCCTCCTCAATGAGCTCCGAGCACAGTGAGGCTCGTCCCCACCATCTGCAACAACAAACACTCCCAGCAGCCTTCTGGAAGCAAGGTTTGTGTCCATCCCCTCCTTCCCTCCCTGCAGAGCCCAGGTTTGCTCCTCCCTTGGGGAATATCCAGCACAACTTACAAGGCCGAGCTCTGGGGCAGGATGTTCACGTAAGCAGCCAGTCTCTTATCCATGATGGCCCTGGGGGAGACAGGAGGGCAGTCGGTGCCAGCCCAGCTCAGTGCTCACCCCCAGCCTTGGGGACATCCCCTTGTGCTGCCCGTGCCTGGCAGCAGCAGCTTTGACACTGGAGACATGGAATTTTGGGTTACTTATTACCCTGAGCAAACAGAGCCAAAGGTGAACCTTGGCTGGAGATGCTTCAGATCAGGCCCTTCTGGCAGGGCTCTGGGACCCTCCCTGTGCTGAGGAGGGAGTTTGGGTGCTGCTCCTGGCCTGGAGGACCCTGCCCAGTGCCAGCCCTATGCCCCTCTGGCTGTGGGATCACCAGGGCAGGGACTGAACTGTGGGACTGCAAAAAGCTGGCCTGGGATGGACAGGAAGGGGTTTGTCTGCTGCTGTCCAGCTGTGCCCCTTCCTTCCAGAACAGCCTAAATGTGCATCTTGTGAAATTAAAAACATCAAGGTTTTTCAACCCAAAATATCCTAGAAATCTGAAGCCCAGCTAGATTCCTTCCCTCGGGCTGCCTCCGTTAGTTGTGGTTTGGTTTGTTATTGCAGAGCTGCTCAGGGCTGCCAGCAGAAGTGACACTTCAGAGATTACAGAGCACTGAACCCATCTCAGGCAGGATTTTTAGAAGAAAGGAGGCAAATGTTGTGTTTGGTGACCCGAGCAGCGTCTGGCCCTTCTCACAGAGGTGGCAGCCATCCCTCCAGGCAGGGCACCGGTGTCCCCACCTTTGGTTTGCTTTAACACTGGCAAACCAACATGGTTAGAGAGGAAAAGCACCCCAGGAGGCTCAGGGTTGTTTGCTCTCACCATGTGTAGGCAGTTCCAGGCATTTAATGCTTGTGGAGCATCTTGAGTTAATCTTTAGACCAACAAAGTGCAGCAGCACGAGCAGAGCCACCCCTGCTGTGCCTGTCGTGTCACACATGGCACAAATCAGTTTGCATTTGCTGCCTGCAACTTGCAAGTTCCTGTAGCACAGGAACCTTTTGGTTTCAGTGCTCTGTCCCAATAAATTGAGATCCTGAGATCCTGGACTTTGTCCCAGCAGGCTGAGCAGCAACAAGAGGCCACCAGGGGAACAGAGAACATTGTAAGAAGCTGAATGTGATCTGTGGAAAATGTCTGCATAATACATGATAGCTTTGGGTTGAGTACTTAATTGTGTGTTTCTTTGCCCTGAGTGAGACAGATTAAATATTAATAAGCAGAAAAGCAAAGGAAATGATGAACATAGGCAAGAAGGTCTTGAGATGCTGAAGTCTACCTGCAGCTCTTCTGCTTTCCCAAAGCTTGAACCCCTTTTCCTGAAACCAGTGGAAAATTTCCTTGCAGACTGATCCATCTGAGTGAGGGCTCCACTGAGCAGTGCAAAGGAAGAATAAACACAGGAAAAGGAGTGGGGGAAAATGAGTGTCGAAGCCCTGTGTCATCCCCTGCAACCAGGGCTCATCGCTCCCAGTTCCAGAACAAAGGAATAATTACTCCACCAGTAAAACCACAACCAAAGTACACATATCTCAGCAAGGGGGAGTGATTTATCTCCTCTCCCTTCCCTGCAAGATGAGGAACAAAGGGTGGAAAGCATTTGCAAAGCTGTTAAGATGAGGCATTTTCAGGAACTGAGGCTCTTTTCACCAGGTACAGTTGCTCCTTTTTTTTTTCAGGAGACATCGAGCAGTGCAGACATAATTCTGTTTGAACTTCTTAATACAGTTGCAGTATTTAAGGTGACACAAACTCCCTTTCAGTAGCCTGTCAGTTCCTGAACATGTCTGGGAGCACTTTGCTGGAGATGGAGGGGTTTTGGCAGCAGCAGGGCAGCAGGAAAACAGCGCAGGAGGTGTTGCAGGAAACTTCACGGTCCATCATAAACACTTCCCCAGTCAACACGGGTTCAGTTCTTTGAACAGACCATCCATTGAGTCAGGGACTGACAGATGTGTGAAAAGAACTCTGCATGCAAAATATCACGCAAAGTATCTCATATATTAAAATAGAAGGGAGGAAAAAATCAAGGAAAACCCTCATTCCCTGAAGTTTGCCTGGTGAGCAGTGGTACCTCACAAGTGTTTGTTGTGGACCCCTTTCATACTTCCTTTATTTTCATGTGAGAGCACTGTGCTTTGTCTCTCTCTATAAATATCCCTCCTGGCATTTTGTTGTCTGTGTTGCTCTAGAAAGGAATAAAGACTGTGACAGATCAGAGAATATCAGCTTGGAGCTTAATCCATCTGAGAACCCTGAAATTCAGGGTCATGAAAATGGGTCTTGAAAATGCAAGGCAATGAAATACATTGAGAATTGCTTGCTGTTACCATGGCATTGACTTCAGAGGCAAATGTCAGCTTTCCTTGGGACAGCTCTTGGCTTGTGATACAGAGTCAGTGGAAAGGAGCATTGCTCCTATCACAGAATCCCAGCAGGGTTTGGGTTGGGAGGCACCTTAAATCTCATGTCACTCCATCCCCTGCCACGCAGGGACACTTCCACTGTCCACTGTCCACTGTCCACTGTCCCCTGCCCCAAGCCCTGTCCAACCTGGCCTCAAGCACTGCCAGGGCTGGGGCAGCCACAGCTTCTCTGGGCACCCTGTGCCAGGGCTAGAATGGCAAGGACAGAGGGACAAGGAGATTTTCAGCTTTATTGCAGCTTTGGAGCCCTGGAGCAGCCGGGCAGGGGGAGCGTGGCCGTACCTGGCGATGTCCCTGGCGATCTGCTCGTTGAGGCAGCTGACGAAGGCGATGGAGTTTGTCCCTGGGACGTAGGTGCCGGTGACAGCCGAGTGCAGCTGCAGAGCCAGGCCCCAGAGCAGGGGGTACGTGAGCACCAGCAGCCCCAGCACCTCGGGGAGAACACCAGGAGGTGAAGGACTGCACTTTGGAAAGCGGCTTTGACATCGTCCTTTGACATCGTGCTTTGAGGGACGTTTCCAGGCTTCTCTCAGCATTGCAGGAACCAGTTAAATAAGGTGAGAACCTGCTCCTAGGGGGTTCATTCCCCTCCAAGAGGGCCAATCTCATGCTCAGGGCAGGAGAGGGGCAGCACTGAAGCTGTATCAGCCCAGGGCTGCCCAGGCCTCGACTGTGGGAGTCACCCTCAGCCTAATGGGGGTTCCAGACCCCACCACCCAACCACAGCAGCCAGGACTGGTTTTCTGCAGAAGAATAAGGGGTATAACATGGAATGTCTGGGTTTCTAGTGCAAAAAAGAGCAAGAAGGGAATGGTTCCCACACCAGCACAGCTCTCTTGCTCAGGATACATCTGTAGCCATCCTTCAGCTGTGTGCCAGGGGTGAGGTGTGTCCATCCCTCTGAGAAATGAGGGGACGGGACCCTCTGCTCCCTGGGGATGTGGGCAGGGGACGAGCAGGATGTCAGTGATTTGTTCATGGGAAACAGATTTGGTGCCAGGACCAGGGGAATCTCCATCCTGCCCGTGTCCATCCCCGTGTCCATCCCCGTGTCCATCCTGGTGTCCATCCTGGTGTCCATTCCCGTGTCCATGCCCGTGTCCATCCATCTCCATGTCCATCCCTGTGTCCATCCTGGTGTCCATTCCTGTGTCCATCCCCGCATCCATCCATCCCTGTGTCCATCCCCGTGTCCATCCCTGTGTCCATCCCCGCGTCCATCCATCCCTGTGTCCATCCCCGTGTCCATCCCTGTGTCCATCCCCGCGTCCATCCATCCCTGTGTCCATCCCCGTGTCCATCCCTGTGTCCATCCCTATGTCCATCCCCATGTCTGTCCCCGTGTCCATCCATCCCCGTGTCCATCCCCGTGTCCATCCCCGTGTCCATCCCCGTGTCCATCCCCGTGTCCCTGCCCGTGTGCACCCGGTGTCCGTGGCTGCCCAGCCGCACTCACCAGCAGCACGGTGCCGCGGCCGGGCCGGGGGCAGCCCTGGCAGGCGGGGGGCAGCGGGCAGCGCTGGCTCAGCCCCTCCATGTCCGGCGGCCGCTCCACCTGCTGTGCCCGAGCCGGGAGCGCTGCCGGCTGCTCCTCCTCCTCCTCCTCCTCCTCTTCCTCCTCCTCCTCCTCCTTCTCCTCCTCCTCCTCCTCCTCCTCCTCCTCGCCTTCCTCCCCGGGGCCCGCCCGCTGCGGGCAGCGCGGTGTCCCCTCCTGCCCCGCAGAGCCATCCCCGCTGCTCTGAGCCGTGCTGACCCCATTTATCACCTTTGTTCGATTTCCCTCTCTATAAAATGTAATTTCCTCAGATTTCGTCTGGCTGGGGCTCTCTGGATAGAAACCAGAGCAGGGGCTGAGTCCTGGCGTGGTGTTTGTACCTAAAACCTCCCGTGAGGGACGCGGGGCAGAGGAGCCGAGCGCTGTTTGTCTCATGCTGTACCTTTATTGTCCCCCGTGTAAGTTTTTATTGTCCCCAGTGTAACTTTTTATTGTCTCCCGTGTGACTTTTTATTGTCCCCTTGTCTGTTCCCACAGCCTGGGGGATGTAATCTGTGGCAGAGCTGGAAGCACAAAGTTACAGGAGTTATCTGACAACATCAATTAGTTTGCAAAAGGTGAGAAAATCCAGCCTGAACACACGAGGGGGTGGCACGTTCTCCGCAGCCCGGGGAGCTGCTCCGGGCACACACCGGGATGGGACCGGCTGTTACTGCTCTCCCGGGATCAGCGCTTTCCCTTCCCGAGCCCAAATAAACGCCGTTTATCGCAGTTTTCCCAAGAAACGGCGACGCCGTGCACCGACCTCCACCCCCCACTCAGAGAATGGAGAGTCGCCATGGCGATGGGACCACGTCCCTCATTACCGGGACCACGCCCCTTCATTACAGGGACCACGCCCCTTCATTACAGGGACCACGCCCCTTCATTACAGGGACCCCGCCCCTCATTACCGGGACCACGCCCCCTCCGCCGCCGGGGCGGACATTTTGTTTACATTTTGACGGACGCAAAGGGCGCCCTTAGCAACGGCGCGGCGGTTGCTATGGGCCACCAGAGTTCTCGCGATATCCCCGCCCGGCGGTCGCTACGGGCGACGCGAGTTCTCGCGAGACTCGCGGGAGATGGCGGAGGAGGTGGCCAAGATGGCGGAGGCGGCGGCGGAGCTGCTGGAGCGGGCGGCGCGGCGGGACCCGGCGCTGGAGGAGCTGCGGGCCCTGCGGGTCGCCCTGCAGGCCGTGCCGCTCGCCGCCCTCCGCTCCCGCCTCGGCGAGCACCACCTGAGGGCGCTCTTCGGCCTCCTCGCCGTCAATGACCGGTGAGCTCCGGAGCCTGAGCGGCCCCGCTGCTGTTCTCCCGGAGTGAGGGGATCCTGCCGCCTTCCCGGGGCGGGATGTGGCACAGCGGTGTTCCTCTGCTCAAGGACTCGGTTTTCTCTCCGTCCCGCCCAGGGAACAGGTGTCCGCGTGTGTTTCCATCCTGGAGAGGCTCCTGCAGGCCCTGGACCCCCTTTACATGATCCAGAACCTCAGGGAGGAGCTGCAGAAGGGCCTTTTCCACCCCGACGACTCTGTGAAGATCCTCACCATGTCCCAGGTACAGGGTTTGCTCCAGGAGGAGGGGACAGAGCTCTGTGGTGAGCTCTGGCTTAGTCCCCATCTGCACTTTCTTGCCTCGATTTGTGATAAAAGCAGGAATGGTCTCCTGCACTCGTGCCATTTGGGATAATTACCCTGCAGTGTGTATATATGTCAATAGCAATGTCCAAAACCATGTATTGACAAAAGCAGGTTGTGAATAAAACTTCTGCCACGTGCCCTGGTTAAAGCTTTCCATGCCAGCAGGTGATGGAAGAATTAAAAGCAGCAACATTAACGCTTTAAAGTATTGTGGAGACACCAAACAGGCTGTGGGAGTCCGACACTTGCTGCATTAATTTAAAAGAAGAGTATTGTGAGATGTTGTGGTTTGGGGTGGGTTTTTTGAAGTTCATCTAAGAGCAGCTGCTTGGGTGTTGTCCAGTTGAGTTTTGATCCAAAAACGTCAAAATATTGTGACTCTGGCTTTCTGTTCAGCTGTTCCAGTGTTTGAGTATCCTTACAGTGGAAAATAATTTGTTCAAATGTTATTTTCTGTGTCTCTTTGGTCAGGTTGGGAGGATTGTTGAAGACTCAGCTGCTGTCCCAGAGATTCTGCACAGCCCGGAGCTGTTACAGCAAATCATAAAGTGCATTGGTGGGGCGAAAATAGCAGTGGCCAAAGAGGTAAAGGTGCCCTTATTGTCCCATTCCTCTGCAAGCTGAGGTGGTTGGATGGCAATAACAATGAGCTCTCATCAGTGCAAAGTGAATTATAATTAAAATTAAGTGTATAGGTGTATAGCTATAGTTAATAAAGAACAGTGCAACTAAACCTGATAATCTCAGATTTTCTTCTCTGCGTGTTTTGCTCCTGTGTAATAACAAGCTCCTGTTTTTGCTTGCAGGCCATTAAATCTCTGTCGAGGATAGCCCAGAGCCAGGAGGGTTTGGAGGCTCTGTTTGGGAGCAGCTTGCTGGGTGACCTGAGGCGTGTCATGGCCACCAGTGACGTTGTTCGGTACCGGGTCTACGAGGTGGGCAGCTGCTCTGCTGCTCCTGGCTCTCAGCCTGCCCTTCATGGCTTTTAAATTATTGTTTCTCACTGCTTTACCCACTTTTCTTCGTGTCTGTGTTTTAGCAAAACTAGAAAGGAGTGGGAAGATTACAGCAGTGGGGGCTCTCATGCTGTCATAACTTCCCTTTCCCATTTGTTGGTGTAAAAGTGTGAATTGCTGTTCATTCTCTAACCTGTAGTGCCCAAGGCATTGGAAGGGCTACACAGAATCTCTAAAGACACCAGAAAGCGTTTGTTTCTCTGAAAATAAAAGTAAAATAGTTAACTGTAGCCTCATGACTTTTGGTTGTGAAGTGCTGCTGAGGGTTTTGGAGAGATGCCAGGGTCAGTCTAGAGATGTTTGGCAAAGGAGAAATAACACAGTTTAAACATTCTAGAGCTTAATGGGGGATAGCATAGGAAGAGCTGGTTGTGAATAGAGATCAAATGCATGTGCTGTAAACTTGGAACTCCTTATGAAGTTGCTTCAGGCAGACATTTGGGTTAATGATAAAAATATGATTAATTCCATATTTAATACATGTAAGGTTAATTACCACTGGAAGATGTATTTGGCTGATGCAGTGAGTCATTATAATGTTTTTATAAACTGTCCTGTTTGCTTTTATTTAGCTAATTGTGGAGATTTCGTCAGTGTCAGCAGAGTCCCTGAATTACTGTGCAAACAGTGGGTTAATCCCTGAGTTAATTGGGGAGCTGACTGGAGAGGATGTGCTGGTCAGGTATGTTGGTGAGTTTGCCAAGGACATTTCCACCACTCTGAAAACTCTAATAAATGTATTTGTGTGTGTTTGTTGTAAAACCCTCTTCAGGAAAACACTGTATCTGCCTCTCCTTAAACTGTCTTGAGTGTCCAATACTTCATTCCTTAATCTGAGTACAAACTGGGGTGATAATTATCATGTTTGGCTGCAGTAGAAACACTGACTTCTTTCCCAGCTTGGAGAAGCTTGAACAGCTGGGATCATTTGGGGTTTTTTTACGCTAGGATTTTGTCTTATGGATGTGGTTTCTTTTTCTTAATCACTGAGTGCTTCAAGCCCCAGCTGAAATAAAGGAGAATGCCCTGGTGTGTTGCAGAGCCACGTGCATAGAGATGCTGACCTCGCTGGCCCACAGCCCCCAGGGGCGGCAGTACCTGGCTCAGCAGGGAGTCATCGACAGAATCTCCAACATCATCCTGGGGGCAGAGTCAGATCCCTTCTCCAGCTTCTATCTGCCAGGTGCCACCCTGCATTCCTCCTTGCTTTGCTTTGGGTTAACCTGACAGCACTGCCAAGCCTCCCTGTTGAAAGCTCAGGGGAAATTCTGAATGTTAGGTCAGATATGTAAAATATTGGATGTTTTAAAAATGCTGATGCATCAAGGATGTTCCTTGTAAAACCTGGGCAGGCTGTGCTGTAGCTTTAAAGTTTGTGTTATTGTTGCCTTTTTTAGGAGTGCAAGCATCATGAATTAAGCAACAGTCAAAATATTTGGCTTGTTGCTTAGTTCTGTCTTTATTTTGAGCTTTTTACCAGCACTATTCAGACTTAATAACACATGTTTAGGGAACAAATCAACCTCACAATAATGTACATTTAATTTTGCCATTGTTGAAGTTGCTGTTCTTCCACTCAATGCTTTTTTTGGTCTTGTTTTCTCAGGATTTGTTAAATTTTTTGGCAATCTGGCTGTTGTGGACAGTCCCCAGCAGATCTGTGAGCGCTACCCTGTCTTTATGGAAAAAGTCTTTGAAATGGCAGAAAGTCAGGATCCAACCATGATTGGAGTGGCTGTGGACACACTGGGAATCCTGGGATCAAATGTGGAAGGCAAACAGGTTTTACAGAAAACTAGTTAGTATCTTCTTTTTCTTTAATAATACTTCATAATATAAGAGTGAATTGGTTTGGGGTGATACAGAAAGGAATTAAAAAATGTATTAACTTATCTAACGAATAAATTCATAGTGGAGCTGATGGGTAGCTACATTCCTGTGGAGATCTGGCTGAATTAATTAAAAGCACTTTGTTTTTGTCTTAAAAGGAAGTAGATTTCAAAATCTCTTAAGCAAAATCGGGCACCAGGCCAAGAATGCCCCCACGGAGTTACGGCTTCGGTGCTTGGATGCGATTTCATCCCTGCTTTACTTGCCTGTAAGTTGGGCTTTTTGTCTTTGTTTTCTCTTTGCATCTCCAAGAATGAAATCATCACACACCTGAGGAACTGTGAGGGCACATTTTGCAGCCTCTAGGTTGGGCAGCAGTGGTGCTTTCAGTGTTCTGAATCATTGATTTACCGTTTTCAAATTCCCTGATTGGTTTGCTTAGATGTCTGAGTTTGTTTGTAAGGTGCCAGGTGTTCTGAAATGTTAATAAAAGATGAAGTCAAGGCTTTATTGATGAGGGAATGAGGGTCAGCAGGTTCATATTATTGTGCTCAGAGGGATAGGGACAAACTGCTCCAGTCCCTGT